GTGATTTGGATTATGTAAATTAATATATGTTATGTTATATTTTGTGCATTTCTGAATGCATGCCGAAACTTAGCTCTGTTAGTATTGATTTTAGATTGTAAACCTTTGACAGTATACTAAGATAGTCAATGTTATGAAAGTAATGTGTATCTTTAATTTATTTAGTTTAGTATTTGTTATATGATCCTGTAGACATTATATCCTTTGATAAGCATGACTACGCTCATCAGTTACCTATGTGTCTGGGCCAGACACTATTGCAGGATGGCCGACTGTTAACTATCGTGTGACGCACCATTAATTAAAAATGGTAAAGTCAATAATCATGTAACCTGAAACGGAACGTCAGAGGCCAGAGCCAAAGTAATCTATGTGACATTGACAAGTGGATGACGGATGATTGAACGGAGGCAGCGGGAGTTTTGGAGCGAAAGTGTTTATATTGTTATAAAAACAAATAAGAAATAGGTAATTGTGAATATTGTAGGCATTGAGGTGTTTCTCTCCCTGACTAACCGGCATTACGCCTAAGTCGTCAGGATACTAGTGATTGTAAAAATAGCGATATTCTTACAAATATTATAAATGCTAAAGTAACTCAGTCTGTCTGTTTGTCTCGCTTTCACGCCAAAACTACTGAACTGATTTAATTGAAATTTGGTAGACAGATAATGTAGACCCTGAGAAAGGCTACTTTTTAATGCGAAAAAGTATTGAAAGGGGAAATGAAAGGCTATATGAGGATATCGTAATTTTTAAAGTCAGATCTTGTAAGATTAAGTGAACAGGGTCGGTCTAGGTTTTTCATTATTAGAAATGTGTAACGGGGTAACACGTTATTTAGTGCGAAATTGTGTATATTACAATAAAATTTAACGAGAAAATATTATAATGATATCACTGGGACACTCATTGCCTTACTACTATATCGTCCGTTAGTCGCGAACTTTCTGGAAACACGAGAGGCGCTATCCTATTGGTCGGTCGGCGCGGTTACCGCGCGTAGATGAGTAGATGAAGTACTTAGACGAGTCTCACGGCGCCGCAGCGTAAGTACTTACTATACATACGTAGTATACATATGGGTATTACAAATGTTTTTATTACTAGTAATATTACTCTGTTATCTAAGCAAGTAATGTGTGCTTATTTTGAACTTGATAACATTCTGAATTACTCGTATATCTTTCAATATCTTTAGCGGTATAAACCAGGTTATGTACTACTACTAGTATTGTTAGTGAGGGATAAAGTTGATGAACAAAAATAAAACAATATTCGTATTAAAAATATATTCATCTAATATTTTTGGCATTATTTTTAAGTTTCTTCCAAATATAAGGGGTCTGACATGGGGTGTTATGTACCTACATTAAAAAATACTTTTTGAAATGTATGAAAGAAACGTATTGTATGAAATTTTTGAAATGTGTGAAATGTATGCACCTACATTAAAAGATAATTTTTGAAATGTATGAAAGAAATGTATTGTATGAAATTTTTGAAATGTATGAAATGTAAGGACCTACATTAAAAGATAATTTTTGACATGTATGAAATGTATGAAAGAAATGTATGTACCTACATAAAAAGTTCATTTTTGAAATGTATGAAATGTATGAAAGAAATGTATGTACCTACATTAAAATATAATTTTTGAAATGTATGAGATGTATGAAAACAATGTATGTACCTACATAAAAAGTTCATTTTTGAAATGTATGAAATGTATGAAAGAAATGTATGTACCTACATTAAAAGATAATTTTTGACATGTATGAAATGTATGAAAGAAATGTATGTACCTACATTAAAATATAATTTTTGAAATGTATGAAAGTAATGTATGTACCTACATTAAAATATAATTTTTGAAATGTATGAGATGTATGAAAGAAATGTATGTACCTACATAAAAAGTTCATTTTTGAAATGTATGAAATGTATGAAAGAAATGTATGTACATTAAAATATAATTTTTGAAATGTATGAGATGTATGAAAGAAATGTATGTACCTACATAAAAAGTTCATTTTTGAAATGTATGAAATGTATGAAAGAAATGTATGTACATTAAAATATAATTTTTGAAATGTATGAGATGTATGAAAACAATGTATGTACCTACATAAAAAGTTCATTTTTGAAATGTATGAAATGTATGAAATAAATGTATGTACCTACATTAAAAGATATTTTTGACATGTATGAAATGTATGAAAGAAATGTATGTACCTACATTAAAAGATAATTTTTGACATGTATGAAATGTATGAAAGAAATGTTTGTACCTACATTAAAATATAATTTTTGAAATGTATGCACCGTACAATAACAATACACGTTAAACATCATACCACAGAGTCATACGCAAGTTAAAAACAAACTGCTATGATATTAATGAGAAAGGAAAATAAACTTTATGGTATTCGAGTTAGGGTCGATTTCTCTCTTTTTTTAAACTATTTTAATCTTACCAGTTGCCAGTATTCGAAGACAGCTACGATTCGTACTCGATATTTTAAATTATTATGTAATCGATTTTTCAGTACAAATGTAAATAACCAACGACACTAATAATGTACTACTATATTCCGTTCTTTGAAACGGAATACTGCTATACTTAATACAAAATAATGAAAATTTACTGTTCACAACGACTCATTAAAAGCATCATCGAATAATGCGCTGTAATAAAATCCTGTTATCGATTATTAAAAAAAATCGATAATACATGTATTTATTTTTAATATGACAACACTTCATACATAAGTATTATTGGAAATAGTATTATTTGCTTGTTCGGCTATTTTTAATTTACTTAAACTTTTTTTATATGTTTAATTTACAATAATAATGTATTAAGTGCTTATTATTGGAAAATATAAAAAAGACATTTAATTAGGCCGATACAAATGACAACAATGCCATCTATGAAAGCATTTTGAAAACATTGAGCCCCGTATTAGCACTGATTAAAGTGTAATTAAGTACTGGAAAATAACAAAATGAGTAAATATATGAAAATTACTTTTCTAAACGCATTATTTCATTTTAACATGTATATATATTTTTTATAAATGGATTAAACTATTTTGAAAACACAGTTTTGTTTTTTAAAACGTTTGCAAAACTATGAAGAATTCCATCGATACCAATCACGCCATCTATATGCAACTTTTAGCAATAATAATGGCTATTTCCTCATTGAGTGCCACTGGTAATACTATTTAAAATTTGTTCAGTGGCATCATAGTCTAATTTTTGTAGCTAATGCGTTTAGCACTTGCAAAGTGCATTCATTTTTTTATATGAGAACTGGAACGAGTATGTGCTAAATCGTTTGGCAAAATTAGTAAGTTCATACTGAGCAATTGAGTTTGCCTATATTTCTAAAAAAAAATCACTAGTGCCTGTTTTACCTCCATCCCGCTCTCGAACGCGTGGCGCTGCAGTTGCTATCGAGTTTTACAGAATACCAATGTAATTCGAATTTGTAAGTGATACTTACAGAAAAGCACTACATGGCCGGCTATTTTGAGCGAAAAGGAATTTTACAATTCGAACCAGTAGTTCCTGAGATTACCGCGTTCAAACAGACAAACGAACTCTTCAGCTTTATAATATTAGTATAAATTACATACATACATATGTAGTTTTGAAAATTGCTAAGCTCTCCTTCAGACAGTATACTCACGCGGACAACGTGCAGACAACTCCACGCGGACGAAGTCGCTGGAACAGTTAGTTCTTATATATAAACGGTCACAGAAACGCGTGGCCAGGTCTGCTAGTGTAAGTATAAGTCAGCCCATAAACATCCGTAACACCAGGGAATTTACAAGAGTGTTGCCAACTATTAATAGCTCTGCGCGTTATCACGCAAACGTTATCTGATAAGAGATGTAGTCATCCCACCAGCTGAACTTGTAACTGATTATCTAATCTACACATACATAATGACATATAAGTAAGTAATTATGATATAATTGATAATTCTGATAGACGATTACAATCGTCATTACATAGTATAAAACAAAGTCGCTGTCGCTGTATGTCCGTCCCTATGTATGCTGAAATCTTTAAAACTGTGCAATGAATTTTGATGCGGTTTTTTTAATAGATAGAGTGATTCAAGAGGAAGGTTTATATATATAATACATGTACACCCGTGCGAAGCCGGGGCGAGTAGCTAATATATTATAAAAGTTAATTTTAATTACATTTTCAGGAGAATGTATCTGCAAGCAAATTGGCGAAAAACAGCTGTACGTTATCAAGATTAAACTGGCTTAAACATAACAAAACATTCAGTTATTATTAACAAAGTAGACACAAGGTCTCATATAAACCTACATATGACACACCTAGTTCAATATATGCAATGACTAAAAATTACAAACTTTCGAAAATTCACTCTAAACGTCTTAACGATAAAGTCTAATTTTTAAAAAATACGTAATTTTTGATTCAATCCAGTATTGACTAGGTGTCTGATAAATGCACATGGATAACATAAATTTACAAACTTTGAAAAATCACTCTAAATATTTCAATGTTAAAGTCTACTTTCAAAAAGTTTGTAATTTTTAATTCAGTCCAGTATGGACTAGATGTGAGATTTGTCCAGCTGGATAGATATATTGTTTTATAATAATAATAATAATTTATTTATTTGCTACCATGTAGGTAGTTTCGGATCTTATTAACTAATAAAAGTACATGACATGCAGCATCCCTTAGAGGTATGCAAATATTCAAATTAAATCATATTCAATTTAATATATATATATAGTTGTATATAATTATTAAATTTGAACTATTATTTGATCACTTATTATGGGTTGGCAAGGGTAAAATGTCCTATTTTAAGTTAAAATAATATGACGTGTCTTTTTTTTATGATTTTGTATCGGAAAACTTAAAAAAAAATGGCCAAATAGGCCGAATACCGAGTAGTAGCCGAATATTCGTAACATCTCTGATATGGTGTGTTTCAGACGCTGGCGCCGCAAGCTAACACCACATTCAGCGTGGTGTACCTGGGCCGGCACGAGGGGCCCGTGTCAGCACATCTCTACATACACACCTCGCTCGGAGTGCACAAGTATCCTGTATGTACATTGCAGTGTTTAAAATAAACCTTACGCCTATTGTAATAAGCAGCAGATTACAATTAGGGGCAGTTAATTTCTGCCCCACTTTTTTTCATTAGCTATGACAGTACAAACTGCCTCGACACGCTCGAGCTCGTTCCCTAATTGGAATAATAAATTGTAAAGTGAGTGAAAGAAAGTGCGAGCATCATCTGAATGCTGGCAAGGAGCCTAGGAAAGTCCCAATCGGAGCATTCAACTCCCACTTCTTACCTCACGCTTTCGTAAACAGTATTTTCCCTAACAGTATTATACATTTTCTGCGGAAAAAAATAATAGATGATTTTGTCCGAGTCACTGTTCATAGGTCGCCATCTTGTGTCCTAACCTTAGCATTCAGGTACTGGATTGCCACTTCTTACCTCACGCTTCCATAAACAGTATTTTCCCTAACAGCATTATAAATTTTCCTCGGAATAAATAATAGATGATTTTGTCCACTGTTCATAGGTCGCCATCTCGTGCCGCACTAATCTCGAAAAACCGGAAATGCAAGGAAGTAGGCTTAAAGGCTACTTTAATTGTATAAAAATGTACATTCATAATATATGTATATTTTTATACAATACAATAATATTGGACAAAATTATTATAAAGTTGTTGGAATGCCTTTATACCATACTAGCTGTGCTTGCTGTTTCACCTATTAATTATAAATTAAATTTCAATAAAAAATATAACGTATATTTATTTTATGGGTATATGATGTGTGAGCTATATTATTGTAGTTTCACTGAAATCCATTCAGCAGTTTTTGCGTGAAAGAGTAACAAACATTTTATTTTTTTATGCTCATACACTTTCGCGTTTATAATATTATTAAGATCAAGATTTACGTTGATGTGTTGTGCAGGTGTCGGCGGAGGGCGTGGCCAGCGAGTGGGAGGTGTGGCCGCTGATCGGGGTTCGAGTGCCGCTCAACGCCACCGTAGACCCGCTGCTCACCATGTACAATCCCACCGATCAATCTATACAGGTATCCAAACATTACATCACTAGGAATTATATTCTTTTATCTATTTTTTTTTAATATATAACGAACGGTGAGGTCCCAAACGAGGTGAAGTCTGTAAGAATATCGGGACGCTTCTGCGCTTCTGAGAGGAGCTTGGCTGGCTATTCTAGTTGTACGATGCGTTACCGTACAGTCGTCAGCATTTTACATTGCTCCGCGTCCATATAACGCCCACACATACCATATTTTCCCTTCAGTACACCAAATAGTCACAAGCATCAGCATCAGTCAATATATCAAGTTGGAAAGTAGCCCGGACTTATCATTTATACATCACAGCATCCTGATTGTGTGGGTCACGGCAGAGTCATACATCTTTATGGTCCTTCGCGCCGGATCTCCGTTCTAGAGGCACAAAGGCCATATTCAGAGTCCATATTACTTTATATTAGCTTGGCTAGCAGTGGAACGGTTGTCGTTCTTTGATCAAGTTTACGTTTTATGATCATAGTATAGGCACAGATAATATAATATTACATACAGATACCCCATCCCATACAAGAAAATGGTTCCTTCCTAACTCGGGCTATTCTTCGGGCTATTTTATTTCGCCGCCGTAGGCGCTAGATGTCGCTATATCTGAAGCAGTTCGGATTACTAGTGGGTGATTAGTAATAAAGCATGAAAATAGATGGCAGAGAATTCGGTCTACATGACATCTGTTTAGCAAAGATACGTACATAATAGATATATAACTGTATCGAACTCCTGATTGGGTACAATCGAAAATTCAATGTAGGTATAATATTGTTCGCTGACAGTCTACAGACACGGCTAATGTACCTATGTATCTATGTACTATGTTACAGTTACTTTTTTACATGCCTACTTTTTCTCCCGACGAAGATATGTCGTAACGCGTCTGCACTAAAATCGGGCTATCGGTTAAGGAGCAATAGCTCCTTAACGAATAGCCCGATTTTAATACGGTTTTTTTTATTTAAATTGTTATGTGATAGTGATAGATTTTAGCTATAATCAATTGATGTGCATATGGGTACCTCATATAATTTTCAGTATATAATTATTTCTCAATATGTAGTTAATTATGGTAAACTGGCAATTTGTAAAACTGAAAATAATATCTGCAAACCATCAATCTGTTATATGTATAGGTTCTTTCAGGGATACTACATCGGTGCTAATGACATGTAGGTACTTATTTTGATGTTATACCTATTTGTAGAACCTTCGATATCTACAAACTACGCCTTTACTGCTAGTTTTTTCGTATTTATGTAAGTTGTTATTCAGTTGAAATTAAGCTGCGAAATTACAGGATATTTGGACATAACATCTATGTTCTCCGGAATGATAACGTATGCGGGATATAGCGGGCACGACATGATGACGTAATGCTGTTTAATAATATATGTGTATGTATGTACGTCGGATAGCGTCGTGGTTGGATGGATCGTCAGCTTATTTACCATTTCAGTTCATAATAGTAGGTAGTAACTTTTGACAATATGGATGAAGGAGGGTAACGGTGATGATGATGAGATAAATAATGACTGTTGACGATAGTGACGGTGGTATTTATTTATGACCACCATAAAATTCATCATTGGCAGTATTCTCAACATTATCATCATTGTTCATCATGATGATTGAGATCAAATTAATTAATTGATTAAAAAAGTAGCAAGTATTAGGTAGGTACTAAGTCCTTATATGACTTAAATACAAGGTTCTGGGATGCTGTGATATACTACAGTCTCTAGATTTTGTTTCTTATTAGTATTCCACAACCAAAGTCTATAGACAGAGAAATATAGATTTACACAAAGTTTTTTGATGTAAATGGGAATTATTATACACATTGCATTAAAAAATATATATGATTACCATCTAATACAAAATCATTATGTAGTAAATAATTCCTGACATTTTAAATCGAATGAGGTGAAACTAACATTGCATGAACACAACACTTGAAGATAAATAATAATTTTTATTTCAGGTAATAAAACACTTTTAAATAATTTATTAATCACAGAATAAACAATTGTTAATAATTTACAATAATATTTCTTTCACTGCTTGTCTGTTATACCACTAAAACTTCAAACACTTCTGTTATTTTTATATTATATTCCAAATAAATCAATATCAAGACATAATATTTCATCAAAATCATTTCATAATTAATTCCTGGTACACAAAATATTCCTGGATTTGTTGATGAAGCAATATAATAATAATCATGAGCTTAAATCATAAACTTATTTGCAGTCGGTTACACATAATATAATTACTTGGAATTTCTTCTCATCACTAGTCCGTTGCTTTCTTACTTATTTAATTATATTATTAATTGCATTGTGATTAATAATTTACAGATTTTTCGTCTGCTTTTTTCTCTTATTTTTACTTGCATTATTATTTTATACAGTAAAATGTTCATATATATATATATATATATATTTCTTATTCTTTTGAACTCCTGTTCTTTACAGTAAAAATGTTATTTATCTTCATCTGAATGACTAGGAGATTTAGAATATCATCTCTTATTTGTTTAAACTTTGTTCAGTATTTGTTGTGTTATGTTTATTTCAGTACAGTTGTTGATGTCAGGAAAATCTGAAAACAATATCATATACCATGTTACATTTTCATGAACTTACATGAATGAATTTACATGAAAGTAACTAAACTGTAACCTTATTAGCACAATAAACATATTATTCATACATCATATTCATTCAGTTCTAATAAAATATAAAAATAATACTACTGTTTAGTACTTTATTTTGATTAATAATTTTCAGTATTTTCTCAATCAATCAAAAATTATAAAATCAGTGTTAGTTTTTTGAAGTTACATTCATAACAATAATAAAAACATAATAATACCACATTAAAGCGGTCACCAAGTACCTATGTTTATTATATTTTAATATGAAAGATACACACGCATACATATGCAAGTTTTTAACAACTTATAGTTATACCTGGTATGAGATAATCCTCAAAGACACAATAGTTTACTAAATATTTGTAGTAGTCCTTAGACACATTTAAATTATTGAGTTTGACAAAAAAATAAGAAGTTAAAATAAAACTTTTGAATTGTTCCTGTTCAGAGTTCATTGAAACTCTGAACAGGAACAATTCAAAAGTTGAAGTACCTACTTAAATTAAATGATGAAAAAAGAGAAAAAATCCAATGCTAGTGAAAATATGTTTTAAGCATTTGACTTAAAGTCGTTTATCCTATTCTTTTATTCCTATATTTTATATTTTTAACCTTTCATTTATGTTGCCAGTACTCGTTGTCATTTCGATATAATAAAAAAATATGGACCAACCTACGATTTTAAATCGATATTTTTATTTGTGATGAAATCTAATAATATAAATTATGAATAACCTACCCTCGAATGGAGATATTAAAAAACTAATTATCATGAATAGTAGGTACTAGGATCAGTAATATATCATAGTATTATGAATGATTATCGTTTCAAAACCTTGTACAATTTAGTAAGGTTGAAAATATCCTTCTACAAAAGCAAAATTCGAGTATTTGTAAAGTTTCTTATGAGTATTTTTAAAAATTCGAGGATCCTCATATTTAGCTACCAATGTCAGTAATTTAGATACCATATAACACTTGTTTATTGAGGTTTCATAAAGGTATAGCTGACCTTATATACTCTATACCACATTCAATTCTCATTCATTAAATTACAATAAGTAGGTATTTATTTTTTTTAATAGAAGAACTGTGTCACTAATGTCATTAATTGCTATAATTACCAGGGTGACCGCGTGGAGGTTGATATAATAGAGTACACTTGTATCAGATCAATCTAATTAATATTTCCCTCTTCAAGTTTCGAAGTTATGAGCGAACAGATAAATATATAGTACTTGCATACCTGTCAAAATCTCTCTATTTTGCCGTCGTCGAGTAAAAATTATGCATTGCAATTCGTTCCAAATAAGAGTATAATACAAAATGATGAAATTTTACTGTTTGCAAAGATTAATTAAAAGCACCATCGAATAATGCGTTGTAATATCTTGTTATCGATTATTCGAAAAAATCGATAAATCTATGCATTTATTTTTAATATGGCAACACTTTCTAAATAAGTATTACTGGAATAATATGGTTTTCTTGTTTAGCTGTTTTATATTTACTTAAACTTTTTTTATGTTTAATTTATCATAATAATATAGTAAGTACTTATTATTTGAAAATATAAAATAAACATTTAAAATACGGTGATACAAATGAAAACAGCGCCATCTATGAAAGTATTTTGGAAACAATAAGCCCCAATTAGCAATGATTAAATTGTAAACAAATACAGGGCAACAACAAAATGAGTAAATATATGAAAATTACTTTTCAAAACGCATTATTTCATTTTAACATCTATATATGACTTTTTAAAAATAGATTAAACCTTTTTAAAAACATAGTTTTGGGTTTTAAACGATTACAAAACAATGTTGAATTCCATCCGATACCAATGACGCCATCTAAATCCGTTTTTCGAACTAAAAATGGCTACTATGCCATTGATCCCCACTGGTATAGGTATCATTGTTAACATAACTTAGAAATTACTAATTTCTTTAAAGAGGTAAATCCTGTCGGTACCACTCGCACTATTGCGGTTTGTCCGACAGTTTACCAGGACTTTAGGAGTGTAGGCGAGTAGTGAGTGCGTGTGCGGAGGTGAGCGATGTGTACTCGTCTAGCGCATGGGTTATGGAAGCGTTAATTCCTGTCGGTGCCACTAGCACTCCTGCGGTACGACCGAGAGTGTTTCAGGGCGGTAGGCGTCTAGTAGTGTAGTGAGTGAGCGCTTGGGTGCGTGTCTGTATGTGAGCGAGGTGTACTCGTTTAGCGCATGGGTTATGGAAGCGTTAATTTCTGCCGGTGCCACTAGCACTCCTGCGGTACGACCGAGAGTGTTTCAGGGCGGTAGGCGTCTAGTAGTGTAGTGAGTGAGCGCTTGAGTGCGTGTGCGGAGGTGAGCGATGTGTACGAGGCGCATGGGTTATGGAAACGTTAATTCCTGTCTGTGCCATTCGTACTACTGCGATTCGTCTGAGAGTTTACTAAGACTGTAGGAGTGTAGGCAAGTAGTGAGTGCGTCCGCAGTTACGCGAGATGGTACACATTGGACCCGTGGGTTATGGAAGCATTAATTTCTGCCGGTGCCACTCACACTACTGCGGTTCGTCCGACAGTTTATCAGGACTGCAGGAGTGAGCGAGTAGTGAGTGCGTGCTTGGTGTCGCGTCAGGTGAGCGAGGTGTACTCGTCGGGCGCGTGGGTGTCGCTGGAGCTGCCGGCCGCCGCCGCCTCCGCGCCGCGCGACCACTGGCTGCTGCCGCCGCGCCAGCACCGCGCGCTCGTGCGGCTGCGGCTGCGGCCTCACCTGCACCGCCACCACCACCACCACCACCACCGGCACCACCACCACCTGCAGCCGCTCACCGCCTACGTCAGGTGCGTACACCCTGCAGGGTGCAGGTACCAGGGTACGGTAGGTCAGTTCATTGATCACTGGCTTAATTGATGAGTAGAATGAATTTACAACCTATGGCCTTACCGACTTTATGGTTATTCATTCTCTATTAATTGTCCCTCGTTTCCTTTCTCCCTTATCTTATATATAAAATTCTCGTGTCACAGTTTTCGTTAACCTATTCTCTCATGAAATTTTGTGAGCATATTGAATAGGTCTGAGAATCGGCCACATTTATTTTTCATCCCTCTAAATGTTAGGGGTAGTCCATCACTAACTTTTTCTTTTTTAGACAAAATTTTTAGTTTCTATTTTTTTATGATACAACATACAAAAATATATACAATCTTAAATTTTCACCCTTCTATCATCAACCCTTATTTTTTTTATAGCATTAATAATTTATATGGCAAAACAACGTTTTCCGGGATAGCTAGTTGAGTATAAATATGCTCGATATGTCATCGAGCGTTAGTTTTCGGTTCCGCTGCAGTGCAGCGGCATTTGGAGACGTATATGGGAGCGTGTAGTGTGTGATGCGCAGGATCAAGGCGAACATGACCGGTGGCGGCCTGGTGGTGGCCGTGGAGGCGCGCCCCACGCCGCCCGGGGAGTACCTGCGGCCGCTGCAGCTCAGGCTGCGCGTGCGCGGCGCCGGAGACCCCCCGCACACGGTAACCTGACCCACCTCGCCCCACGGGCCCACCGTGCTGCCGTGAAGTGTTGTCTGTTTCATACGGTAACCTGACCTACCTTCGACGGGCCCCACCGTGCTGCATAGTGCTATCTGTTTCTATTCCTATCAAAATTATAGGGTATAGAAATACCATAATTTAGCACTTACCTGCGCTAACAGTTTACGCTGGCGGGGTACCAGTGGAGAATGATAAGATGAACATGAGGTCAGGTCAGTTAGCCCATCGGGATAAATTCACCAGGGACAACGCGTGGAGGTCAACTTGATATGGTACATTACTAGTAATGGGGTCATGAGTCCACAGTATTAACAATCCTGTACTTGTAAGGGGCTACAATAGCGGTGGTACGGTATAGCATACGTTTTGACATCGTATGACGTCGTGATAAAATGTTGTTGCATATGTATATAAGTGAAAATTACCACTAAGCTGCTTATGAAGACTGGTCTGTTAGGGTTACGAACACTGATTAGACTATTTGCTTTTGCACTAGCATATGTTGGTAGTCACTCTATTCTCCCAAATTTGAATTTCTTGAATTTGATTGATTTTTTTATAATGATTGAAGCCTATTCGTGTATGAAAGATACGCGATATATGTCAAATATCATAAAAGTCTGTAATAGAACCTATATAAAGATATTTTGATTTTTTTTTAATCATGTGTTGTTTGTAGTCGCATAATAAATGTATCCGAGTGTACCGTCTGAGGAGAGCCCTTCGTGACGTGTGTTGTGTCGTCGTGTCCGCAGTGGGAGGTGGAGGCGGGCAACAGCGCGGCGGAGGCGGTGCGGGCGGCGGCGCGGGTGTGGGGGGCGCGCTGCGGGCCGCACCCCCCGCCCCTCCCGCGGGACCCCGCCGACCCCGCCGACCCCGACCACGCCGCCAACGGGGCCGCCGCCAACGGTAACCCTCACCGACCTCACTCACACCCCACACACCTCGTGTGCGGGCCGCACCCCCCGCCCCTCCCGCGGGACCCCGCCGACCCCGCCGACCCCGACCACGCCGCCAACGGGGCCGCCGCCAACGGTAACCCTCACCGACCTGACTCACACCCCACACACCTCGTGTGCGGGCCGCACCCCCCCGCCCCTCCCGCGGGACCCCGCCGACCCCGCCGACCCCGACCACGCCGCCAACGGGGCCGCCGCCAACGGTAACCCTCACCGACCTCACTCACACCCCACACACCTCGTGTGCGGGCCGCACCCCCCGCCCCGCCCGCGGGACCCCGCCGACCCCGCCGACCCCGACCACGCCGCCAACGGGGCCGCCGCCAACGGTAACCCTCACCGCCCTGACTCACACCCCACACACCTCGTGTGCGGGCCGCACCCCCCGCCCCTCCCGCGGGACCCCGCCGACCCCGCCGACCCCGACCACGCCGCCACGCCCACACACCTGACTCACACCCCACACACCTCGTGTGCGGGCCGCACCCCCCGCCCCTCCCGCGGGACCCCGCCGACCCCGCCGACCCCGACCACGCCGCCAACGGGGCCGCCGCCAACGGTAACCCTCACCGACCTCACTCACACCCCACACACCTCGTGTGCGGGCCGCACCCCCCGCCCCTCCCGCGGGACCCCGCCGACCCCGCCGACCCCGACCACGCCGCCAACGGGGCCGCCGCCAACGGTAACCCTCACCGACCTGACTCACACCCCACACACCTCGTGTGCGGGCCGCACCCCCCGCCCCTCCCGCGGGACCCCGCCGACCCCGCCGACCCCGACCACGCCGCCAACGGGGCCGCCGCCAACGGTAACCCTCACCGACCTCACTCACACCCCACACACCTCGTGTGCGGGCCGCACCCCCGCCCCTCCCGCGGGACCCCGCCGACCCCGCCGACCCCGACCACGCCGCCAACGGGGCCGCCGCCAACGGTAACCCTCACCGACCTCACTCACACCCCACACACCTCGTGTGCGGGCCGCACCCCCCGCCCCTCCCGCGGGACCCCGCCGACCCCGCCGACCCCGACCACGCCGCCAACGGGGCCGCCGCCAACGGTAACCCTCACCGACCTGACTCACACCCCACACACCTCGTGTGCGGGCCGCACCCCCCGCCCCTCCCGCGGGACCCCGCCGACCCCGCCGACCCCGACCACGCCGCCAACGGGGCCGCCGCCAACGGTAACCCTCACCGACCTCACTCACACCCCACACACCTCGTGTGCGGGCCGCACCCCCCGCCCCTCCCGCGGGACCCCGCCGACCCCGCCGACCCCGACCACGCCGCCAACGGGGCCGCCGCCAACGGTAACCCTCACCGACCTGACTCACACCCCACACACCTCGTGTGCGGGCCGCACCCCCCAGATACGTACACAATATACGTGTTTATTTTATATAATCCTAATTTTCTCTAAACTTTAGTACATGAAGCTATAATTATGTTAATGACAGGTGAGAGTGCCGGCGCGAGCAGCGGGGGTCCCGGCGCCACGGTGTCCGCAGTGCGCGGCGAGCTGGCGCCGCACGCGCAGCCCGAGCACGCAGCCACGCTCACGCTCAACTGTACGTACCTACTTGATCAATAAAACTGTTACCAACCAACTACTACCTTATATCGTGGTTTTTTTTCGGACTACTCTAATGCTGTTGGCCTTTACGGCTTCACCGGACGATAAATATTACATACACATAGAAAACACCCAGACCGATACGCACAATTACACTCATGAATACGAATGTTTGTGCCGTGCGAGGAATAGAATCCGCTACCATCGAAAGTAAGACGGTGTACTGAACCGCTAGATTACCGAGGCCGTGAAATGTTTCAGTTTCTCGATTGTGGGAAAGCTACTTAGAGGAACCAGAGGCGCTGATGGAGAAAGAAAAAGCCGTTCCTGGCGCGTGGTGCTGGGGCTGGGTGCGGCTGGGCCGCGCCGCCCTGCCCTACACCGTGCACGTGCTGCCCGGCACCATGCGCGCCGAGCCCGCACAGATGCAGTCAGTATACCACACTACCTCTCCTTAGACCTTACAAACAAACTTACATAACTGTGAACTTTTCCACCAATTGTCGATGTGCGTGCCGAGCCCGCACAGCTGCAGTCAGTATACCACACTACCCTCCTTAGACCTTACAAACAAACTTACATAACTGTGAACTTTTCCACCAATTGTCGATGTGCGTGCCGAGCCCGCACAGCTGCAGTCAGTATACCACACTACCCTCCTTAGACCTTACAAACAAACTAACATAAGTGTGAACTTTTCCACCGAGTGTCGATGTGCGTGCCGAGCCCGCACAGCTGCAGTCAGTATACCACACTACCCTCCTTAGACCTTACAAACAAACTTACATAAGTGTGAACTTTTCCACCAATTGTCGATGTGCGTGCCGAGCCCGCACAGCTGCAGTCAGTATACCACACTACCCTCCTTAGACCTTACAAACAAACTTACATAAGTGTGAACTTTTCCACCAAGTGTCGATGTGCGTGCCGAGCCCGCACAGCTGCAGTCAGTATACCACACTACCCTCCTTAGACCTTACAAACAAACTTACATAAGTGTGAACTTTTCCACCAAGTGTCGATGTGCGTGCCGAGCCCGCACAGCTGCAGTCAGTATACCACACTACCCTCCTTAGACCTTACAAACAAACTTACATAAGTGTGAACTTTTCCACCAAGTGTCGATGTGCGTGCCGAGCCCGCACAGCTGCAGTCAGTATACCACACTACCCTCCTTAGACCTTACAAACAAACTTACATAAGTGTGAACTTTTCCACCAAGTGTCGATGTGCGTGCCGAGCCCGCACAGCTGCAGTCAGTATACCACACTACCCTCCTTAGACCTTACAAACAAACTTACATAACTGTGAACTTTTCCACCAATTGTCGATGTGCGTGCCGAGCCCGCACAGCTGCAGTCAGTATACCACACTACCCTCCTTAGACCTTACAAACAAACTTACATAACTGTGAACTTTTCCACCAAGTGTCGATGTGCGTGCCGAGCCCGCACAGATGCAGTCAGTATACCACACTACCCTCCTTAGACCTTACAAACAAACTTACATAAGTGTGAACTTTTCCACCAAGTGTCGATGTGCGTGCCGAGTCCGCACAGCTGCAGTCAGTATACATTGTACATTTCACCTAGCGCCATCTAGTATAAATTTTGAGAACTTTAATTGATATTGGTCGAACACCTACAAGAATATAGATATTTCTAATTTGAATTTGAAACTGTTCCAAATATAATATCATCAGTACAGTAACTGTAATGACATCCGGGCATCAGTGTTATATCATCATCATCAGCCCACTGCAATCCACTGCTGGACATAGGCCTCTCCCGAAGCACGCCACTGGGCACGATCTTCAGCCCTTCTCATCCAGTTACTACCCGCAACCCTACGTATGTCGTCGCTCCACCTAGCTGCGGGGCGTACTACACTACGTTTGCCAATTCGCGGTCTCCACTCTAGAACACGTGTACTCCAGCGAGAGATATAACCAGCCCACTGCCACTTGAACTTGCAAATACGGAGAGCTATGTCGGTGACCTAAGTTCAGGTAAATTCTCCAAGCATAGCTCTCCTTTAGCGACTTTGAGTTGGCGGCCCAATCCTATCGTCAGTGTCCACGACCCGATAATAAAAAAAATAAATTCCATCAATAATAAAAAGTATATATTGGTTGCAGTTTTATATTGGAGAAGGAGGAGGACTTATATAAGGAGCGTGAGCTGCGGTTCCACAACGAGTTTCCCGTCGCGGTGGACATCATCGACATAGAGTACGAGCCCGAATTGCTCAAATACTTCCACGTGAGTCAACTCGTATCATTGCGTTATTTCTTGTATTACTTATACAGGGTGTCTGATAGTAGATTTATATTTTCAACAAATAAAAATAAAATTATTTGATAGTTATGTGGATTTAATTTTTAAAATTTTCTCATTGAAATGTCTTTCATTGAGTTGCATTCACTGTTCAATAGAGCCTTGTGTTCCGCACCACATGTTGCAGTAAACTTGGTTCAATCGTTTTTATTTCGCATTGAATGTTTTCTTTTAAATTCACTAGAGTTTGGAATTTATTTTTGTAAATTCTCTCTATGTACTATGCATGTATCGTACATATAAATCTTTGTCTTGAGTCTCACGAGGAGGCGCTAACGCTCACTTTGGGAAAGGCTGATGTAATTGAACTGTCTGTTAAACTGACATTGTAGACTTATCCTAGTTTGTGGTTTCCCGCAGAAGCCGCAGTGGAAGGGCACGTCGGTGGAGGCCGGCGGCGTGGTGCGCGTGGCGCTGAGAGTACGCGCCCCGGCCGCGCCCGCAAACCTCACACTCGCGCTGCGGACCGCCGCCGCGCGGTATCAGGTGCCGCTACACATCTACAGTGGCGCTTTTCGTCTGGTACGTATCAGTTAGGGCTGCGCTCCTGCCCCTATTTCCGCATACACAAATTTAGTTTAGTATTTTATGTTTAAGTTAATTGTATTCGCGACTTTGTTTGCGTGAAGTTTAATTTTATTTTTCTATAATAAAAGTAGTTCAAGTTATTCTTTATTACATTAGTTAGTTATCAATAAAAGTTTTGTTAAAATCGGTTTAGTCATTTAAGAGATTAGCTGGAGCAAATAGACAGACAAACATTGAAAATAATGTTATTTTGGTGTATGTATCGTATTATTTCGTAGCATGTAGTAAAAACGGTTAGTTTAATATTATTCAATTTTATTTATATGTATAGATTAGCTTTTGACTGTGGTTTTGTTCGCGTTAATTTATCCTTTTAGGTGTGGAGTTTATCAAAATTTTTTTTAGGGAATGTTTACATTATAGTAGCTTTATACATGCAAAGTCTTATTTCGAAAGGTTTAAAATTGATAAAGTTTCATATATATTTTCTTTCCCTATTTAAATTCTTTTAAGAAACGATTTTGATTAAATTTACCCTAGATTTAATCAAAATCGTTTCTTAGCAGATGCTTACGTCATAACATCTACTTGCGTGCCAAATTTGAGCTCGATCCGTTCAGTGGTTTTGGCCGTGCGTCGATAGATCACTAGGTCGGTCGCCTTGGGGCGATATATACTTAGATGGAAGCGTGTGTATGAACGCGCGCAGGAGTGGGAGTGGCCGAACTCTAGCGGCGCGCTGCGCGTGGGCGCGGTGAGCACGCGGTCGACGCGGCGCGTGTGGCTGCGGCTGCACAACGCCGGGCCCGCGGCGCTGTGCGCGGAGGAGCTGCGCGCGCAGCTGGCGGGCGCGGTGCTGTCGCTGGCCGGGTGTCCTACGGTCGCGGCGGCGCGGCACGCGTGCCGGTGCGTGCGGGCGGGCGGCGCGGCGCGCGCGGCGCTGCGGGTGTCCGCGCCGGCGCGCGCGCGGTGCGTGCGCGGCGCGGTGTGGGTGCGCTCGCAGCACGCACGCGCACGCTCCGCAGTCTCGCTGCGCGCGCTGCCCGGCGCCGTACACGCCGTGCCGCTGCGGCTCGCCAACGTCGCACCGGTGACTATTATACTTACATACATACATAGATTGATAAGTTCTTTTATTTATTAAAGGAAAACCAAGGCTATTCAAGTACATCTTAAATAAAATCAATATATACGTCATAGTAAGCCACTGACGGGCTTTCACTACTAATAATAGACTAATTCTTAAAAAATTTACATCACTACGTATAAAAGCATTATAAAGTTAACAGAATATGAAATTAATTAACAAGTGTTACAGTAACAAATAGTGAATTTATAGAAATATATAACAGATACATGATTTTCAATAATAATTAATTGTTATTTAAAGAAGGGCTCGCTTAGTTGGTGTCTCGTTGATTTAATATTATTACAAAATATATCTATATGAACTGTTTTAGATAGTTTATGAAAATTGTTACTAGCTCGCCAGAGAAATGAATTCTGCTTATAATTCGATGACACTAGGGGAACAGGTAGGAGAGGATTGTGTCTTGTTGATACTCCTGGTACATTAACGGATAATTTACTCAGGAGATTAGGGCAGTCGAGAGCACCAGAGGCTATTCTCATGAGATATATAATATCCGCGATTTCCCTACGCCTCTCAAGAGACAGAAGGTGGTGTTTTTTGCAGAACTCAAGATACGTAGAGGAATCATAAGGACCTCGTAATCTGTAGGCTAAAAAACGAATAAATTTCTTTTGGATATTTTCGAGACGTAGTATGTAGGTTTTGTATCTAGGATTCCAAATCTGCGAAGCTTCAACTTCAACTTCAAATCTTTATTCAACAATTATCATATCATAGTACAAAATGAAAATATACAAAACTTAAAAAGTAATATTTCGCTATGAGCTGAAAAGGCCTCCACTCGGCCGATGCCGCAGCGTGTCACTGTCGCCTTTTTTTATAGTACGAAGTCGACAAACATACGACCTATCTACTACGAATCGTGTATTCGGAATAGATAGGTGGTATGTTTGTTTATTACCAGGGAGAACTGACCTGACCTCGTGCTCATCTTATCATCCTCCACTGGTGCCCCGCCAGCGTAAACCGTTAGCACAGACAGGTGCACCATTTCATTATCGTCTATAAAAGATACATATTACCACCTATATATATGTATATTTACCAAGGGTATAACCTAAAAAACTTTAATATGCCCTTCTTAAAAAACATCATTCTGTAGTCTCTACAGAATAAGAAGCTCCTCTGAAACCACGCTGGCCGCGACCACTGAGTTTCCAGCAAGTGAGAATGAATTCTCTGTCGATAATAAACTATGCAATAGTAAAAGATAACCTAATGTAGACATTATGTTGAACAATTCTTCAAAACATCCGCTGTATATTTGATAAAACACACAAAACGATGTCTCGCCTAAAGTTAAATGGTTCGATACTACCTACACCAAAGACCTCTGAATCGAAATCAATTACAACTCTCCTAGCAGGTCTCTGGATCGAATCAAAAGGACCCAAGAATAAGAGCAGTACTCCATATGCGGGCGAACCTGTAAATTATATAATAAGAGTCTTTGGACAACCGTGAAGCAACGTTTCACTCTATTGAGCACTCCGAGCATTTTGGGCGCCAGCTTGACCTACCTTCTTCCTCCATATCCCCCTCCTCTGTAGATACAACTCACGCTCACTGCTCGTGTCGTCGTTGCAGTACACGCTGTCGTCGGCGCCGCTGGTGCTGGATAACACGATGCCGCTGCACTCTATTGAGCACTCCGAGCATTTTGGGCGCCAGCTTGACCTACCTTCTTCCTCCATATCCCCCTCCTCTGTAGATACAACTCACGCTCACTGCTCGTGTCGTCGTTGCAGTACACGCTGTCGTCGGCGCCGCTGGTGCTGGATAACACGATGCCGCTGCACTCTATTGAGCACTCCGAGCATTTTGGGCGTCAGCTTGACCTACCTTCTTCCTCCATATCCCCCTCCTCTGTAGATACAACTCATGCTCACTGCTCGTGTTGCAGTACACGCTGTCGTCGGCGCCGCTGGTGCTGGATATCACGATGCCGCTTCACTCTATTGAGCACTCCGAGCATTTTGGGCGCCAGCTTGACCTACCTTCTTCCTCCATATCCCCCTCCTCTGTAGATACAACTCACGCTCACTGCTCGTGTCGTCGTTGCAGTACACGCTGTCGTCGGCGCCGCTGGTGCTGGATAACACGATGCCGATAACGATGCACGTCGTCAACATAACGCAGGACGTACCCGACCCGGCAATTATATTTATGTATGTATTTTTTTTTGGTATTATTTCTTTATTGGAAGCGAGCAGCGCAGGACCGATCGTCGTGGATATCTTTGGGGGAGGCCTATGTCCAGCAGTGGACGGCTTCCGGGCTGCGATGATGATGATGATGACGATGATGTATTTTTTATTATATATTTAAGTCTGTGTTTTAAGTTGGGCTACTCGAACAAGTAATCCAATAGACTACTGCTATTGAGTAAAAACATCATATGCATGATGACTACGGCCCTCACAGGACACTGCAAATTAAACAAGCATATGCCAAAACTAGGTCTATGCACGACAAAAAAATTTAGATTCTGCCAAACTGAAGAGGAAACGCCGCTACACATCCTATGTTGTTGTAGCCCACTCATGCATAAACGAAATATCTCCTTTGGAAAGTTTACACTCTTTCCCGAGGAGATAAAAACCATCGCTCTCAAGAAAATCCTTGTCCCTGACTGGTCTAGGTAACGATCTTTGAAAAAGGGTGAGCACAATAGATCTATTTTGGTGGCAGTGCTACAGGTGCTACAAACATCTGACAATAGCCCGAACAAACCCAAAAAAAATAAAATAAAGAAAACGTGTTTTAATGAAAACAAATTAAAAATGCAGGTAATAAATATATAAACCTATTTTTTTTTGTATTAATGCACATATCATATTTTAAATAACATAATTACTTCTAATATATACAAGATAGTCCCAGAAAGTGTTTCAAACAATAATAGTTTTTTTTAATATTTATATAATGTTCCCCAGGTCCGAGGGCGGTAGTGTGGTGCGCGGCGGACGATGCACGGTCGGCAGCGTGCGGTACGCGGCCGAGCTGCACTGCGAGCCGCACTGCTGGGCCGGCCTCCCCCCGGGACACCCCGGTGAGTGTAGTGTGCCCGGCCTCCCCCCGGGACACCCCGGTGAGTGTAGTGTGCCCGGCCTCCCCCCGGGACACCCCGGTGAGTGTAGTGTGCCCGGCCTCCCCCCGGGACACCCTATATCGGTTTTTCCCGTACATGGCTACTAGGTTGGCGTTTTCATACTTCGAACCCTATTACGACCCGTCACAGATCCAAACAGGACACGACTGCTCGCGTAGGCGACTGCACGAGTCGAGTGATGCTCCTCACCCCAACACGTATGGTGGTCGTGGCCCACTCTAACCTTGCCCCCTGCCCTCAGACGGGTCCGCGTGGTGGGGGCGCGCTGCGACGGCTGCGGGGGCGGCGGGGGCTGCGGGGGCGGCGGGGGCGCTGTCGGCCGACGCCGCGCTGGCGGGCGGCCGTCGCGAGCTGTTCGCGCTGCACGCGCACACCGTCATCAACATCTCCTTCTACCTGCACACCGACCACGTATGTCACCCCGTCACTCGCTATTGTACTAACTAACGAAAATACTTACTTTTTTATGCGGAGATGTGTACGTAAATATGTAGACAAAGAAAACGGGAGCACGCCAGCAGTAGACGCGTTCCCGCGTTCTTTAATCATGAGTGATTTAGCTAGCGCCATTTTCATGATTATCATTACAAAATGGCAGATTCACCACTGTAATTGCTATATCGAAAATACGTATTTTGTACGCTATTTCACGCGGAAATATTTTGTATGTAAATGTTAACTAGTGAACGGCGACGCAGGCCATTCTCCATTTTTTAATGATGAGTGCTTTAGTTAGTGCCATTTTGAATTATTATCATTAGAAACTGACTATAGCAAATACATCATTATACGAGTTACAATTTGTGAAAAAAAATAATTTATTAAATAATGAAATGATTTCAATCATTCGCGCTATCGCCCACGAAAATGTGATCACAGATTATAGTAAAATGCAATCACGCACTATTGCACGAACTCCTGATTGCATGAAGGAATATGTCGTTTATAAGCAGCGTTTAGTGTCACACACAAACGGACTACTAACAACCTTATATAATGTGCGCGGGGCAGGTGGTGCAGATCCCGGTGACGGGCTCGGTGCGGATGCACTGGCCGCAGCTCACGCCCGACACGGAGCCCCCCGCCGCGCTGGCGGGCGTCGGCGGTGAGACGACCGTACGGGTGCGGGTTCGGAACCCGGGCACGCGGCCGATGCTGCTGCAGCCCGTGCTCGCCGCGCCGCTGCCGCGCGACCTGCTGCAACACGCCTGCCCGCGGTACGTGCCCCCCTCACCCGCCACCCCTGCGGTACGTGCCACGGTATGAACGGTATTGAACTGAAATTGAGGGGTTCACGGTATGAACCCCTCGCCCGCCGCCCCCGCCACCCGCGACTTGCTGTGATATGCCTGCCCGCGGTACGTGCCCCTCTCGTCTTTCTCTCGTTCCGGGAGCCCCGGCGGGAGCTGGGGGCAGGAGCCAAGGTCTCGTTAGCGCCCTTAATTGTGTCTACAAAAATTTAACAGCACTACGGGTGGCAGAATAAAAAACGTAATCTGACGGCCATTTTCGTAAGTACTTCGTCGCTCTGTACATTTAGAATCGATGTTGTCCTAAAACGTGTACATGAGTATGTGTGTCGGGGTGTGGTGCAGGTGGAGCGAGTTGGAGGCGGCGTGCAGTAGCGAGGGCTGCGAGTGGGAGCGCGAGGCGTTCTCCCTGCGCGAGTGGCGGGCCGTGCGGGGCCGCGTGCGGGCCTGGCCCGGGGACGGGCCCGAGGCCGGCCCGGGCCCCGGGACTGACACCGGGCCCGGCCCAGGGCCGGCGCCGGGCATGCTGCTGCTGTCGCCGAGCGCCGAGCTCGAGCTCGACGTCGTGTTCAAGCCCACGCGCGCCGCCACGCTCGCCACCTGGCTCTATCTCAGGTTCGTGCTATCTATGAGGAATATTTTATTACATCGACATTTGAAAACGAAAATAATGGATCTACATTAAGTATTCATGTGTTTAACCAGTTGTTGTATATTGAATGTTTTTTCTATTTTATTATTTCATTGAATTAGTGCTAATCGGTGGTTTGTATTCACACACTTAAACTTAAATTGTAAGTAAGAATAAATTATTTAAAAGTTCACACACAAGTTTCTTGCTTATTCTTTTTGTGATGAGACAGCATTCCGAATGAGCGGTATATTAAAAAAAAATGTTATGACTATTCAAAAGTGCTTCAATGTAAGTTTATTTGAATAAATGATTTTCTATTCTATTCTATTCTAAAAAATGCAGTGACTCATCGTTTGAGGAATCGAGTGGTGATACTTTGCAACTAGTTGCAGAAGCGATGATATCTTTAGTTGACTGACTAAAAAAGGAGCCACCGCTATTAGAGAAATGTCTGTACACGGTTGACTAATTTCAAAATTATTTTATTATTAATTCAAACTCAATGTAAGTCGCTTCTGAATGCGACGTGGTCGTAATCCCCAACAACCTGAATTTTTCAATCCCCAATAACTTGAAGTTCCAATATAGGAACAACCTGACTATATTGGAGAGCACGGTGGTGCGGGGGCGCGGGGTGCACCCCACCTTCGAGCTGGACGGACGCGCGCCCGACACTGACGACCCGCTCCTGTTCGAGGTGAGCTGGACTAGTTTCATTATTAAAACAAAATTTGTAACTCTCTTGGATTTCTAAGCTACATCCAACTTTTGATACAACGATGGTGGCATACTATTTTATTAAAAGAAGTTGTACCTGCCATATACCTACATAATCATAATATTAGAGTCTTTACGCGCATGCTCTTTCACGAGAGAATAGACTTTCACGTAGGAAAGAATATGCATATAACAATAGACAAAGATTTTGCGTATTTCCATGTTCAACAATCGTGCGTGGTTTTAGCGGCATTTTGTAATAATTAATTATCATTGCAAAATGGCAGACCGATTATGAAGCATAGACATAATTATAGAATTATCTATTTATAATTTTTAAATCTTAAAAGTGTCTTTGGAAAATAATACCTGTCGAATACAAAATATAAATTTAAAAGAAAGTGTACTAACACTAAGCACAGCCGTAATCAGCGAAATAGTAAACACCAAAATTCGTAAAGGCAATAACTCGATTGCGTGCGTCGAATTCGACGCGAGCTCGCGACCGCGAGTGAAAGAACGCATCGCGTAAAGGCGGCTAATGTAGTGCGCGTCGCGGGGCAGGTGAGCGAGTGTCCGGAGGAGGGCGCGGAGGTGGTGCGCACGGTGGTGGCGCGCAACACGGGGCCCGTGCCCGTGCGGCTGCGGGACTGGCGGCTGGCCGGCCGCGGCTGCCGCGCGCGCGGCTTCCGGCTGCAGCCCTGCGCGCCCCTCACGCTCGCGCCCAACCGCTCGCGCACGCTGCGGCTCGCCTTCGCGCCCGACTACACGCTGGCGCGCGTGCCCTGCGCGCTGCACGTGCGCACCGACCTCGGCCGGCGGCGGTTCGCGCTGCTGGCCGCCGCCCCCGCCCGCCTGCTGCCCGCCTGCGCCGCCGCCGCCCCGCGCCCGCCCTTCGACTCCGGCCTGCGCGCCGCCGGCACGCTGCTGGCGCTGCTCGCGCTCGCGCTCGTGCTCGCCGCCGCCGCGCTCGACGCCGAGCGCGAGCTGAGGCGCGCGCGCGCCGCCCGCCCCGCGCCCCCCGCCGCGCGCGCGCCGCTCGACCTGCGCGCGCACCGCGACATGCGCGACCAGCTGCAGCGCGCGCGCGTCGCCGCCGCGCCGCCGCCGCGCGCGCGCAAGCGCCGCCCCGCACGGCGCGCGCCGCACGACGCGCTCGCCGAGCGCCGCGCCTTCGAGCGCTGGCGCGTCGAGGTGCTGCGCCGCGCGCTCGGCGACGACCGCCTCGAGCCCGACCGGCGCCCCGACCGCGCCGCGGACGGCTCCCCCGCCGAGCCGGAGGACTTCGAGTCGCCGCGGGACCGGGACCGCGGCGTCGACGACCGCGACTACGACGCGACCTTCACCGGCTCCGACGACTCCACGCCCAGCGAGGAGCGCGACGACCCCGACGACCTCGACGAGCCCGACGAGCCCGACGAGCCCGACGAGCCGGACGAGCCCGACGACCTCGACGAGCCCGACTCGCTGGAGGAGCCCGGCGACCCCGACGAGCCGGACGAGCCCGACGAGGCCGACGAGCTCGACGAGCGCGACGACGCCGAGGACGAGTCGACCCCGACGCCGACTCCCGTCGACGAGATCGAGAAGAGCCGCAGGACGGCGGGCGCGCGCGCGGCGGCCGGGGCCGAGGCGGAGCCGGCGGCGCGGGGGCGCGGGCGGCGCGCGGGCAGCCCGGCGCGGCGCGCGCGCGCGGGGGCCGCGGAGGCGGAGGCGCGGGCGCGGGGGCGGGCGGCGGCGCGGCGCGAGCGGCCGGCGCGGCGGCGCGGCGCGGAGCGGGCGGCCGCCCCGCCCCCCGCGCCCGCCCCCGACGCGCGCGGCCCGGCCACGCTGCGGCGCGGCGCCACGTGGAGCTCGGTGGTGGCGGAGGGCCCGGCGGCGGCGCCGCTGGCCCCCATCGGCTCGGACGTGCGGCGCCGCGCGGAGCCGGCCCGGGCCCCCGCCGCGCACTCCCTGTTCTACTTCAACGAGTCCCCGGAGCCCCCCTACGGGTGGCGCGCGCCGCCCGCAGACTGCGCCCCGTTCTCCACGACGCCCGCCTTCGGAGGTGAGTACGGCGACGCTTCCGCGTTTCAATGTTTTTTATGAAGCTATGAACTACCTTTTGCGTGCTATATTAACAAATTACTATCTTGTAGAAAGAATTTTGTTGATGTATTTAATTTGTTGTTATATTTTTCCGGTTGTACGACGAACGTTTTACGGGGCAGTGTCGGACCATCGAATTTGTCGGATTATACAATACCGCTTAAGGGGTCCCCTATAGTCCGGATACAAAAGAATACCTTGTAATCCGACAAATTACAGATCCAGTGCTAAGATTCTATGTTATATATGTATGTATGTATATGCACTCTGAAGTACAAATCGTCAAAAGTTTCGTTACGCGGTATGCGGTCACATCGCATTTTTTTTTTCAATTGTCAGTGTTCTGTGCTTTCGCTTCTGAGTTGGTTCGTAATACACAATGAATAAATAGTAAACAATGAATAAATGCTATACTGTACTAACTAAGCAATCATAATCAAAACAATACATTACGCGTCGAGTAGGTACAACAGTGGTGATGCGTACAAGTTCAAACTTGTTCAGTCATACATTAGCGAATATTATCAAAAAAATATTAAATAATAAATAAAAGATTATGTCGGATTACAAGGGGGGCCGTATGAGACAGGGCCGGATTATCGTATGTACTCGTTTATAATGAGTGGTCCGAGACGTAATATAATGATCATCAATTAAAAATAACTATAATGAGTAGTAAACTGCATGGTGTGGATGTTCCAGAGCGGACGGAGCAGGGCGCTGGGGGCGCGGGGGGCGCCGGGGGCGTCGGGGGCGTAGGGGGCGCGGCGTACGGGGCCGGCTCGGTGTGGGGCGCGCCCGAGCCGCAGCCGTGGCAGTGGGACGCGGAGGAGGCCGGGGACGCGCTGCGGCCGCCGCCCGGGTTCGGGGCGGCCCCGCGGCCCGCGCGCGCCTTCGACCCGTTCCAGTCGCTGGCCTGCATCTGGGGCCCCGGCCGCGACTGGCGCCTGCCGCCCGACGACACGGAGCCGCGCTGAGCGCCGCCCCCGCACCCCCCACCCCCCCACCCCCCACGACACTCCTCGCCCGACCCTCTCTTTGAGACTGAATAAACTTACATTACCAACCGATTCCCTGGTCTCATTCTTACCTACCGCCTTTTCAGCTCGACGACGATCAGCCCGACGTTATTACTAGTGGGAGTAATATTTACGAGTACCGAAATGTGAATGTGGATGGATGTAAAGGGAGGGGACGCCCTAAGAAAAGATGGATGGATTGTGTGAAAGATGATATGAATAAAAGAAGAGTATGTTCAGATATGACGACCGATAGAGAGCAGTGGAAGAGAATGACATACTGCGCCGACCACAAATAATGGGATAAAGGCAAGGCAATGATGAAATTGCAAAATGCCTCGATACTCGACGCGTGTCCTTTCACGCAAGAAACAATGAGAATGCAAATCGCTCGCGGCCAGCTCGCGCATTCCCGCATTCTTTAATCGTGCACCTTTGAAATAACTTTACCTCTGCCTTTTAATCTCTGAGATTTGTAGCAACATACTTTCTACACGTGCCACCTTTAGTCCTTATAACTGTCCTTCCCAGAATTCCGCACACAACCGTGTAAGCAATTAGAACGTAGCCGCTCGACCTTCGAGCTGTCTCTAATTTGACAGTTGTAAATGTCAACTCTTCTAATAATGTTACCAGCTGAAGCTGAATGTGCCTATAATTCCGATTTGTTGAAACGTAATTTTTAACTTATAAAATTAATTCTAAAGTTTTTTCTAACTTTCCATATATATCGATTTGGGTTCCCTTTATATGTAATGATATCGAATTTAACACAATTAATCTGTTGCTATCTGTAAAACCCTAAGTGGCTTAGTATATTTTATGCTACGTTTACATTCAGCCGCTTCCCCTACCGCTCGCGTTGCCGGAAATATTGCCGGACGGCAATTGAGCAAGAAGGCTGAATGTAAACACGCTGCCACTCCTTTGACTCGCGCACGAAAAACCTACAATTGTGGGAGCGCCGGGCAGCGCCAATGGCCTGGGAAGTATCGTACTTACACTCGCGCTGCTCACTTCCCTGCCCACTCGGACCGAGTGTAAATTGGCCTTTATAAAGTGAAATTTATTTCTGAGATGACAAAACCGACTTCGTCATTGCAAAATGGAAGACATCTGATTATGGAGCAAATTGGAATGAATGAATTGTCCTGGTTTTTCTAACTTCAAAATATGTAAACTAGGTTTAGATGTTTTTCAACGTATCAACTAGTAATATAGGATGGGAATAACAGATATGTAATAATACAAATAAATCTTGTATACATATAATTTTATCATAGAAATGTACAAATTAGAACATTTAAAACAATGCTCGATATTTTTAAATATTAATGCTATACAAATTACATATTTAGTATCTATATTTTGTAGAGTAGTCCTTGGGTGAGACGACAAGACCGCGTCCCTTGCGAGCGCCCCGGTACACGGTCTCGATGATGTCGATCATCTCCTGCTTGTCCTCGAGGGGCCAGTTGATCTTGTTGTTGTTGCCGGTGCCCAAGTCGATCATGATGTGCTTGTTGCGGAAGAAAAACATCACCGTACACGGGTCGTACAATTCGTACCTGGAAATGATTCCACAAGTTATATACCATCCTACATCATAGTCAATTATTACAAATTTGTATTATTAGTATTCAGCATTAACTGTCAATCCTTTTGTTTATAGCATAGGAGACATTGGAGATTGAGGTTTTTTTTTTTTTATGGATGATAATGGAATGGAGCACCAGCCTGCGCTAACGGTTTACGCTGGCTGGGCACCAGTGGAGGCTGATAAGATGAACATGAGGTCAAGTCAGTTAGCCTATCGTGTGACAAATTCATCAGGAATTTATCACAATGGTTTCCAGGGGGAACCGCGTGGAGGTCAAACTGACATGGTACATTGCTAGTAATGGGGTCATGAGACCACATTACTAACAATCCCCTTCCCCCCTGGAGATTGAGGTTCGCCTGATAGTAAGTGATTACCACCGCCTGCAACACCAGGAGAATTGCAAATGTGTTGCCGGCCTTTTAAGACCATATTGGTTTGAATATACTATTACTGGAAAGTGATTGCACAATATACCACTCACAAGGTGGCAAAGTTATTTATGCGATATCTACAAGATTCCTCTTAACCTGTAATGTCACTGCCTAAACTGCCCCCTACAACCGGGGTAAAATTAACAATAGCCAGGTGTTGAGTTCTGTGAAGTTCTGTGTTCCGGACAAATATGTACAACTGCAGACTGTGCCGCGCGGGGCCACGCACTTACTAGGCAAAGCACCGGTCACAAGAGCACTGCGTACATTCAATCATATAATGGAGCAAATAGATTTATTTTCTTGTACTCTGAATGAGTTCACGAAGATCACTTTATTTATTATATGCTACAATTAAATTTTAAAAAATAATGTTTGCTGCACTATTGTGTTAGCCTAAGATCTGTATAATAGATGTAAGCGTGGAAATAAAATAAATAAATAAAAGTTTATAAAGCAAGCTACTAGGCAGCTGAAATACCTAAGATTGAAATATTTACACTGACGACTTATCACAGTCTACCTCTGATAAAGCAGTATCCGAAACATCACATGGGGGAAGAATAGGTTGACATTTAAATAAGATCTGCTATCTTATACAGCAGAGTTAACACGTTAATTGCCATGTCAGTCATGTGTCTGAGGCTAAGAAGTTCTAGATGAGCCATGTCAGACATATATGTCTGATATACGCGGTTTGATAGAAGGCGCTGTGATCAAAACAATGCATTAATACTTATTGTATCTTGTTTGGATGCATCAGACTGACACAGCTTGTTGAGAAAAAAGTTTTAATATAATGCCATGTCAGTCATATGTTTGTGTTTTTCCGGGAATTTTGGCAAAAAATTTTTTTTTGTTATAAAAATTCCTTGATACATCTTTATCTAAATTATCTAATAAAGTTATGGTGGCCAATGTTAAAATTTTTCTGATATCATTGTGGCAATTAATGTTAACATTGCATACATAACACTAGTTATGAAATTATGAAGCCAGTGTTTTGTGTGATGATAACAGTAGTGTATTGCACTTACTTCTCTGTCTGTTCTGTGCATACACCCTCATGGTGTGTGTCATAATATACACATATTTATGGTACACTTACATTTTGTTGAAGTCGGGCACCTCTGTGATGTCCACTAGATAGATGACGGCAAAGTTTTTAACTTTCTCTGCTATACTGTAGAGTACCTCGTCCATTTTCATACATGTCGGGTCCCAGTCATGACCAAACCTTATCACCTACAAACCAACACAATCATTACATTTTTCATATTTTTTATTTCAAAGAATTATTATACTGCTCACACTTGCTACAGAATGCAACTGTGTTTTATATTTTACTAGCAGACCCAGCTAGCGTTGCTGTGGTTAAGGCAACAAAATATTACAACTATAGATTGAAATGTAAGCTATCCTATCTTTCAAGTTGGATCTAATTGCACACAATGTGCAAATCAAATTTGCAATCGGTTCAGTCGTTTAGGAGTCTATCGCAGACAAATAATGTGATATGTAATTCTTGATTTATTGTCACAATGAATACAATTTGAAAATCAATTATAAATGATACTGTAAATCCTAATAATTTAATAAAAACATGAAATAATCATTTAGTATGTAATTTTCAATACTTCAATATAACTAAGCTAGGATACATTCACAATGTGTCTTAGTTTTGCTTTGAAACACATGAAAAAAGATCGGTTGAGATATACATGAATATAATCATATACATTTACAACTAATGAGTATTCTATTGTAACAGAACATTTTAGATATTAATACATTATGAGCGGGGCAGGTATTTGTACCCATGAATAAATATATTGTATTTATATCAGCTGCTTTGCCCCATAACAAAATACCATACGGTATAATGCTATGGAAATAACTAAAGTAGACAAGTTTAACCGTTGCAACATCTGTTAATTGTCTAATTCTTCTTACCACATAAGTGGCAGAACTAAGTGGACTCGCCAATTTAGTAATATGAGCACCCTATTGCAACTTGGAATCTAATATATATATATACATTTTTCCCTTGTATTACTTAAAATAACTTATTTTAAATCAGTACTAATACGTTCCCCGCTTTTAAACGGTAATGTGCGGAACGAGTTCTAGAACCTGCCCCGCACATAAATGTGTTAATATAAAACGCAGAGTAATTATAAGTGGCAATCACTTACCACTACACGATCCTCTTCAGATAATATAGCTTGATCCACCTGCCAGCCGTTGTGTAGATGTCCCAGCATATAACTCATGGTGGTATTTTATTTAGAAACCTTACAGAAATTAAGTTTGGTGAAATACTGCAAGAGATTGCCTTTGATTAGCAATTAATGACAATATAAATAAACACTGAACAACACGTACAAATTCAGCTTATTCAATAATGTTATCAGATTAATTATATTATATATTTATTGTCTACAAAAATAAATAAGGTATATTAACATTCTAAAAACTGCGTTTCAGTGACTAAATAATAAGTTGGAGACAAAATATTTGTTATAAATTGCATTGCGCACAGATTTCGTTCGTTATGAAATTCAGATCTCTGACTGAAATGTCAAAAATGACATTATGACACAACACTGACAGATACTGTTTAATCAGTCAAACAGTCATTATTATAATTCAATATTTTAATCTCTTTGCCTTTTCGTTAAAAAAAACAGCAAAAAAAAATCCCGTGCATGATCAAATGAACACCTAAAACAATACGAAATTTTATCTAACCATTATCACCACAGGAAACTTCTTATCATCTGTGATTATCATCATAGTACTCGTACATGGTCTGCTTAGCGTTGGCTGTGTATTATACTTATTTTCATAATATTTTATGTACTTTTTTAACTGGAATAGCAAAAAAAGTTGAAGGCTAGCCGGATGGAAGGTGGTAACCGTCGCCGATGTACATGCACCACGGTCATCGTGAGGTTGCTTTTACATACACACAAGTTTATTTTAAAAACACCATTGTGGATTGATTTGCAATCGATGGGGTTTACTTTTGTATCAAATGTATATTATTGTAGAATCTGTAACATTGACCCGTGCGAAGCGTAGATGGTGGTTTGGTGCGTGGTGTCCGGTGCGGGCGCTCCGCTCGCAGTGCCGACGGCGGTGGTAGGTACGCGCGGTCGGGGGAGGGGCGCGGTCCGGCTGGCACCTCGCCACCGGATCGCGGTCACACACCAAAACACAGATTTCTCGGCAAAAAATAACGAGCACTTGCACCAGAACTCGATCATTCGCCGCGACGACACGCGCGCCCACTGTTAGCGTGCAATTTATGCCATGTTCACATTTCGTCGGTACAGTATACTCGTGTTAAAATACAGACGTTTTATTGTTATGAGCGATCTGTCACAAGTGTTTACTTTGCTGAGCAGGCCAGGAGTGCAGGTGTATTAATGGTTCGGAGGTCAATCAGCAGCCACCGTTGCTGAGAAGTAACGTGCCGGCCGACGTCTCCTTGACGTTGTGCGCGTACAAATTAAATATTAAGTGAATTATACAACCATAACATTTCCGGTGAACAATATAATAGCATTGAAGTTAGTGTAGGTAGGTATCTAAAGTGTATTTCAAAATATTATTTTAAGCTATTTCTACTACTAATTCATTTTACGATATGAAATGGAAAATACGAGCACCAGATTCTTCGGACTTCGCAACAGATGTCGCAACTGCTTGCATAAAATTTCCATTCGGATTCCAAAAACTATAGTTTGAATCATTTATTGATGCAATGCATTGATCATTATATATGATTCTGGTGCATTTTTTTTTATGGATGATAATGGAATGGTACACCCGCCTGCGTCAACAGTTTACGCTGGTGAGGCAATAGTGGAGGATGATACAATGAGGTCAGATCATTTATCCCATGGTGGTAAATTCACCATTAATTTATCACGATGGTTTCCAAGGGTTCCCCCTGAAAACCATCCACGAGGAGGTCAACCTGATATGGTACATTGCTAGCAATGGGGTTATTAGTTCACATTACTAACTGTCTCCTTCCCCCCACTAATGGGATCATTACCCATGTAAAGATAGTTTACAAACATTCTGCTAAGATCTGGGTACTTACATTGACTTAGTGGCGGCAAGCCATGAATTATCTACGATTGCACATAAAATATACATCCCACACTATCGATCTTTCCAGCTCAGTAATGACACATTAAGTTTTCATACAAATTGAGTTACATGCATCGTTTCTTTATGATAGTTATCATTTAAAGACTTGAACCGCACCACGGATACATTGCATTCGAAGGTTGCATTTCTTAGGACTAATATGCACCGCAGAAATACTTTCTCTGCCATCTACATACACTTATTAATGATTTGCACTCCCGTGAGCCGTTTCACTTTGCTCATCATTCTTGCTGGATAAACTTTCAAGCTTTGTAGAAAGCGATCCTTCGATTTACTGCAAATAATAGTATCAACTAATGGTATCGAGTATCCATGGACAAACACAAGATGTAGGTAGCACTGAAAGATTCGTTCAAAACGCTTGAATTACCCAAAACATATACGGGTGTTTTCAAGCTGACCTTCTAAAGCTGACATTTTTAAAGTTTCTAATCTAGATTTGGTTTTGTAGAAATTTACAGTGATACAATCTATACTTAGGGTGTACCAATAATCACAGCAAATTAGGTTAAAAAATATTTTTTATATGGGGTGGTAGCTTTAAAATTGTGATCTATTGAAGAATATTTTAACTGTAAATGGTAAATGGACAATATTTAGCGGTACCGCCTGCGCAAGCCGTACTTTTGTATCTTTTTCTTGTTTTTAGTGTCTTTTTGACGTCTTTTTTTGTCTAATGGATCATCCATTAGAAAAATGGACAATGGAATGGTGCACCCGCCTGTGTCACGATGATAGGCGAACTGACCAGAACTTATGAGGTCTAGTCAGTTAGCCCATCATGAATTTATCACTACGAACCACGTGGAGATCCAACTGACATTGTACATTGCTAGCAATGGGATTATCAGTCCACATTACTAACAATCATACTGCCCCCACTATCGGGGTTTCAGAGGAGGATAATCGACTGAGGATGAAGTCATGATATTTAGTCCATTGTGACGAATCCACCAGAAATTAAACGGATAATAATAGACATGTATTCTAACAATATCTTCGCTTCAATACAATTTGTTAGTATAAAGTTGGTACGCCTAACAAAGTAGCGAGCATCGTGGTGTGTGAAGGTCAGGGATATTTGTTTTAATTGGTGATGAGTCGATATTTACTGGATTACGTACTGCGTGCAAGTGACGTGACCGTGTACCTGCCGCCGAGCGGCTGTGGGGAGGCGCCGACAGCAGCCGCGGGCTTCGAGCCGCACGTGGGCCTCCACTAAACATTGCGTATTATTAGCGACCGGTGCATTTACATAGAACGCTGTAAATCTCTGCTCTCCCACCTTGCTGTAAGTACCCGTAGTTACCTTGTGATCACGTGTTGTGTTCAGTGTTACGTTAAACAGTGTCGAGTTTTCGTGAACTTTTCTTTTTTTTTATAACACAGGGGACAAACGAGCATGCGGCTCACCTGATGGTAAGTGAATAGCGCCGCCCATGAGGACCCGCAACACCAGGGGAATTGCAAGTACGTTGTCGGCCTTTTAAAAAGGAATAAGCTCTTTTCTTGAAGGTTTCAATATCGTATCGGTTCGGAAATACCATTCCTGGAAGGTGATTCCACAATGTGGTTGTGCGTGGCAAAACGTTTCTAGAAAACCGCACTGTGGAGGACCGCCGTTCATCCAGATGATCAGGTGGTATTTTAGGTTCTGGCGGGTGGTACGGTGGTGAAACTCAGCAGCTGGTATTAATCCGAACAATTCCTCAGAACACTCCCCGTGATATATGCGGTAGAAAATGCACAGAGATGTAATATCTCGCTTCTGCCTTTAGGATGATCTTAAAGATAGAGCATGCGATGGCTTACAGATATCGTTTAACATTAGTTTAGTGAAATAAAAATACAAATAATTAAGAAAACGAAATAAATAACCACACATAACTGGGAGACATGGATTGTTAGTAATGTGGACTAATACCCTCATTAACAACAATATACCACGTCAGGTTCACTTCCTCGCGGTTCCCCCTGGAAACCGTCATGGTAAAATCCTAGGGAATTATGATATATAACTGATACTGACCTGACACTATTTTTTTATAAGAAAAGTAGCCTAAGTTACTCCTTATCAGCTACCTGTGAAAAAGGTCTCATCTAAATCGGTCCAGCTATTTCAGAGAATAGCCGGAACATACAGGCAGACAGAAAAAAAAATATTTTAGTGTATGTATCGTATTTATATTCATATGCATGTAGTAAAAAACGTTTATTTCAATATTACAAACAGACACTCCAATGTTATTTATATGTATAGATCGAGCACACTCGTATTTTTTTGTTAAATTAGATAACAAAGATTTTAACTCTTTAATTTATTTTGTTCCAAATCTTTATGTTGTAAATTTGTTTTACAATTTTGAAGTTCTTATTTTGCCTTCTTATATTGATAGATTTAAAAAATTTTGTATGAGTTACTAAGTTTCTACATGGCTTATTAGAAATGCTCTACGCGGAATCGTAACGTGAACTGACTTTCTAGTGAACTTAAATCTAAATTCTGTGGAGACAAATTACCAGTTGTCTTTTTACAGCTTCACAGGACGATAGGTGGCGAGTGCAGATGGCACTCCAAATCCGCGGAAAGACTTATGGAGCGGCTGAAGGCCAACTCCCGCCTGACGGATACGACTTTAGTCTGAGGGTACCGCAAGGGGTTCGAACCTCGGCTCAGGCCGTCGTAATATAGATCCCCGTTTGAATTGGGCTGGGGATCGATCAGAGGGGAAATTACAAATGTAGACACATTGATAAGTTTTAGGTTCTTGAGCTTCAAACTGAGGCGTCTCGCCTCTTTAATTGCAGGTGTGGTCCACAAGTCTGGAGCAGTAAGGTGATGGTGGTGGTGTATGGTGCACGGTGCTAGTGTGCCATGGAGACCGTGTTCCCACCGTCGGCGTCGGCGCTGGCGCGCGGGCGGAGGCTGCGGCGCGCGGAGCCGCGGCTCAGACACCGCACGATGCCCGTTACATTCGCCGAGATCAAGGTGAGGGGAGAAACAATCTGATTATTTATCCTAATCTTGCGCACCAGAAATAACAATGAGTCCTGCGTATAAATAGACAGTTTGTAAACAAACTTATTTTAGCTGCGAGTAGGCCGTAACCCACTGCTGAAGTACTGTTTGCATGTTTTTTATAACATAATTTTTGGTACTAAATTGATTTAAGTTCAATTCTACTAATATGCATTACAAATGTGAAAGTTTTTTTAATGTTTGTATTGTTGCTCTTTCGCACAAAACCTACTGTCTACTGAAAGAAATGTTGTTGGATCTTTACAGTAATGTAGGTTGTACATGAGAATAATGAGTAGATTATTTAAAAACAAATTGTGTAGTGCTAAGTGTCAAGTAATTTCATTAATAAAATCAATAGTTTAGCTCTACTACCTACTACTAGTAATAAAATGTCTTGAGAATCCATCCCCATACGTTGAGATCTGAGTGGTCTCGGACAGTGATGGCAAACATATTTATTTGTAACCATCGTAGTCCTAATATGATTGAGTGCAATGATAATATGTGGCTGGTACTCTCGTCATACTCGTGAACGGGTGCTGCTTGTGGGGATTGATCTGTGCGCGTTACGGCCACTGATTTTTATGACTCACTCTCGATTAATGTTCACATTTTATCGTTAAATTAATTTAAAAACGAATCTATAATATTGTAAAATATTAAAAATTCATTTGAATAGAATAAGAGCTGATATTCTTATAAGTTTTTCTTAGCTCGTAAGCAATTCGAATTGACTGTAATTTTGCCATATTATCATAAGTCTGTAATAGATTTACCTAAATATTGGTATCGTAAATTTGATTTATGATTTTACTAAATTAATTTATAATAAAATGACTTATCCATTTTTATTCGTTGTTATTCACTAGTTATTTGATAAATAGTTGGAAAGTTATAACGATGAGAATAAACGTTCCTGTTGAGAATACAGGGTGTATTCTCAATAGGAATGTTTATTCTCATGTCATCAAATGGTTGAGTGTCCATTGTCCGAATTCTCAGGACATAGTAACATTATATGAGACTGATTTTTTAATGGACGATAATGCCACAGTGTAGCTGCCTGTGCTAACGGTTTCCGCTAGCGGCGCTAGCTTCGGGGCACCAGTGGAGGATGAGTCAGGTCAATTAGCCTATTGTGGCAAATTCACCACGAATTTAACCTGATTGTTTCCAGGAGGAATTGTGTGAAGGTCACCCTAACATAGTATAGATACTGCTAGCAATGGGGTTATTAGTCCTCATTAATAACAATCTCCTCCAATTGTCATTTGCCTGTCAGGTAGGCAGTCAGTGTAGTGGATTAAAATTATTTACCGAGTGCTAGGCATCATTAACTTTAAAAAAAAAGTGTTATTATCAAAATTACAGGAAGTGGATGAGGAGAACGAGGAGGCGTGCGCTGAAGTATCTGAGGAGCGGCGGCGGCGGCCCGACCTGCTGGACGAGTCGCTCGGCCGCCAGTTCGCGGAGTTCAGGCGCCGACGCGCGCGACGCGACGTGCTGCGCGAGCGCGATGTAGACGAGCCGCAGTCACCGCCCCCCGCGGCCGCCCCCTCGTCCCCCGTCCCCCCTGCGCCCCCCGCGCTCCCCGCCGGCGGGCTGCAGCGCGCGGGCAGCGAGCCCTCCGCCCTGCACCAGGCGTCCACCACCTGAGCCCCCGCTGGCGGCGGTACACGACGTCCCACGCGACCGGCGATCAACGATCGACACGAATTCGGAGCGCGACGTGTGCGTACTCTACTCTGTGCTCGTTACTAGTGTACGACGGGCCGACGAATAAAAGAACAGTATAGACAATAAATTTATTTATTGTTGGTTACAATAAATTAAATAAATAACACCGTCTCGTCAATCACGCGTCTCTCAAACGACTCAATAAATAGACACCTCTATGTACATCCATTTTATATTAGAGGTAAGCGGCTTACACACGATACTATAATTAGGGGCATTATTGGCGATGTCGTATTGGAGATAAAATCGCATCGTCGGGAACACTATCAGAAATCGACTCTGGTTCCTCTACACGCGCGGCGATGTAGGAAGCCCACCAATGCTCCGATATTGCCTCTCATTGTAGTATCGTGTGTGGGCCGCTTTACGTGTAATCTCGATCACACCCGTAATAATTACTTTATTGTACAAAGTGGCACACATCGTATTGTAATTTCATATTAAGTTTATATAATTTTAACAATCTTGAGTAATAACAAAATAGTATCATAATACCCTTTTAGGTATATTTTAAAATGCATTTCCAAATATTTATTTTAATATTAATTTATATTAATCGTAGTCCCAATTGACATTAATTAACACAGAATTTGAGAATAATAGTTACCTATTAATACCAAACAATTTGTTGTACTGTACCTACTCACCGGCAGGCTGTAAGGATAGAGATAAGTACTGAAATATTTAGAAATAAAGATATTTCTGACAATAATAATGAATTTCTAGACAACCACAAAGTAAATTATTGAACTGAAATATTTTCGAAAAGGTAGAATTACAAATTACGTGTTACCATTAGAAATTATTCACAGATTTTTGTTTACTTGAAATTAATTATTTAGAATTTAGTTTCAATGTTGGCTATCATAGCTGAGAGCATAGGAATCCTCTTAAAACTGCTGCCTCTTATATAAGTACAAGTAGCTGGTAGTACTTCTCGACACGACTGCGGGCGACGTGACAATTGGAGGCGGTGCGGAGCTATTATACTCCGCCCCGATCTTGACCTTACTCGTCATTTTTCTTGTAAAAAAAACTTAGCTTGTTTGTTACCGTTCAGTACATAAAATTGTAATAATTGAATTATAACAAATTGGAATACAGCGTGGCATTGCCCGGGTAAGGCGTATGTAACAACTGTAACGATCTCTTAATTTTTATTAATAATTTTATTCTAAAATGTACAATAATATCACTTAGTTTACGTACACAGTACGATCCGCACCTATATATCATTGTAAATAATTATGTAACTAGGTATAATCTAATCAATATTTATAAATATACTTATTTCATAAAATTTTCTAAATATATATTAATTTTCTTTTAATACTCGTCTCATATAAGTGTCGCGACATAATACTGTACAAAATAGTTAATCATCATATTATTTGTCTACAATGGTGTACGGCCTACCGCACGGACAGTCGTCCAAACACTATTTCGGAACATTCATCGTCGACTCTCTGGTGGATTGCGGGCGCAGTCCAGTCGACGAGGGCGGTGGTGAGGCGGCGCGGGGCGGCGCGGGGCGGGGCTAATGGACGGCTACATAAGACACTCCGGGGCGGCGGCGAGCGGGGCGAGGCCGACTCTCAGACTCGACTCGTCTTACGGAGGTGGGACGTCGTCGAACGTCAAATTCGACGACGGACATCGGGGATTCAGTCTTCGAAACGGGCAGAGGGCGGGGTCGGGCGCGGTCAGCGCGGCGCGGCGTCGTCCGGCGGGAGGTCGGGCTCGGCGGCCGACGGGATGGTGTGCAGCAGGCGCGGCGCCAGCGCGGCCGGCGACCCGGGCGGCTCCTCCGCCGACACGGCCGGCTGCCGCGTGAGGCGGGGCCTGGCCGCGCCCCCCGCGCTGCCGCCCGACCGGGACGTGCGCCACGTGCCCGTCGACGCCGTCGCGTTCGAGCCCGACGAGTCGTTGCGCGACGAGGACAGGTTCGAGTCCTGCGACGTCTTGCGCGCGACCAGCCAGGAGGCGGCGCGGCGCGGCGGCGCCGGCGCGCGGCCGTACGCGCGCCACGAGTCGGAGCGCGACGACGAGAACTCGACGGACGAGGACACGGAGCCGGCGCGCGCCGGCGCGGCGGCGGGCGGGCGCGGCGCGGGCGCGGGCGCGGGCGCGGCGCGGCGGCACGCGCGCAGCCAGCGCAGCAGCGAGCGGCGCGGCGCCGGCGCCGGGCCCGCGCCGGGCAGCAGCCGCCGGCACGCGCACGCCGCGCCGTGCTGCCCGCGCGACGACCGCTCCGCCAGGCTGTTGGTGTTGGCGGGCGTCTGCCGGTTGCTGAAGTTGGACGAGTGCCGGCAGCGCCCGATGCCGCGCGTCACCCGCGACTCCTCGATGGCCTTGCACACGAGCGCGCAGTCCTTCTTGAATTGCTTCGTGAGGATCGCGTACAGGAACGGGTTGCAGCACGAGTTGAGCGGCAGCACGAAGACGGTGAACACCTTCGCCTCCTCGAGGGAGACCAGTTGCGCGCCGAAGGCGGCCGTGAGCGCGAAGAAGGCGATCGGCGACCAGCACAGGAAGTCGGTGAACACGAGCAGCGCCATCCGCTTGGCGATCCGCGAATCGTTGGAGTTCCAGGCCTGCGAGCCCCGAATGGCGCAATACATCTTGAGATAACAACCCAGCAGGACGAGGAAGGCGACGCCGTTGATCACGAGCAACGCCACGACGTAGCCCAGCGACGCGGGCGTACTGGTCTCGAAGGGCAGACACACGGCGAACTTGCGATAATCGGAGACGCCGAACAGAGGCAGCGCGGCGGCGACCAGCGAGAACGCCCAGCCGACGGCCATGACGACGGCCGCGTGTCGCAGCGACAGTCGTTTGTTGAGATGCATCGCGTGCGTGATGGCGTAGTTGCGTTCGAGCGTGATCACGGCGAGCGTGTACACCGATAGTTCAGACGACAGCACGCCCAGAAAGCCAGCCAAGCGGCAGCCTCCTGACATTTGCCATGTGATAGCGTGCGTTCTAAATTCGCCCAGCGTGCCGGCATCGACCACTGCCAAGAAACCTGGCAAAAAATTAAATAATAATAATTGCAAATTAGAAAATCACGTCGTATGAGTTTGTATAATAATACGCATTTCCCGTAGTTATATATCGAATGTAGTTCTTCTACAATATAGTAAGTACCGAGGTATATCCCCATAAAGAAGTCCGCGGCGGCGAGATTAGTGACGAGGAAGCGTGGCACGTCGATGCGGCTGCGGCTGCACACCAGCACGAACACCACAGTGCCGTTACCGAGCAGCGCCAGCAGGAACACCGCCCACACACCGCACCGCAGAGTCCACCAGTCGAATAAATCGACGCACGGCAGAAAAGGACCTGGTGTGAATGAAATCATAATTATTGAACTATTAACATGATATGCAATCCATGATGGCATACGGCATATGGCACTTACCGGGTAGCGGCATGCACTGCACGCGGCGCGGGATTTCCCCGCGCAGCTCGGAGGCGCGCACGTCGCCGGCGCCGCGCGTGCCCCCCGCACCCCCCGCGCCCCCCACTCCCCACGCCGCTCCGCCGCTCGCAGCCAAGCTCGCCAACGCCGCGCGGACTCGCGCGTCGCTTGCGTTCACTGCACAATAGTTAGAATTAGAAAGAATGTGAGATATAGTACGTAGCACGGTGTTACATATGGTACATGTGACGAGTGTGGGTGGGTGTACAGTTTGGTGGGTAGAGTGTAGTCACTGACTGTAGTGCGGCCAGATGTCGGTGACGTTGGCCCAGGCGGCGAGGTCCACATGGTGCGGCGGCACCAGCACGAAGTCGCTGAGGCCCTCCTCCTCGGGAAGCTCGCCGCTCTCCTGCATCAGCGGCATGAACTCGCAGCAGTGGTACGCGTACGACAGCACCAACGTCTGCATCCAAAGATAAACACACATCGTTAGTGACATACGAGTACACGCACACACAGGTGACGCAGCTCCTCCCATGCTGGGAAACTTGCATAGTTTCCCAGCATTATTCCTTAGGACATAACACATGCAACTTTGTCAAGCAACAGGAACAAGTAAGAATCTCAAGAACAACGAGGAGAAATAGATATTCTCAAACGCAACATATGTAACTGTTTATTTATGTAACAAGGACAAGTAAGAAACTCAACAACAAGGAGAAATAAATATTCTCATATTCTCAAGTATCTACAGTGGGAAATTGAGAGAGAGTGAGAAATAATACTGAGCAACCAATTGTTCACTTTATTCTATTCTATTCTAATAATATTAATTTTCTCAAGTATCTACAGAGAGAAACATACTGAACAACGAATTGTTCACTTAATTGTTGTTCACTATTTTGTGATATTTCTTGTATTAAGAGGAAACATGGACAGTATCTTTGCCTACAATCGTATTCTCCGGCTTTCCCCTGGATAATAACACTAGGTAAAATTTTGATTTCAATAAGTTAATTATTAAATTATTAAAAACAAAATGTTGCCTATGCCTTAAACAATTTCGGACTAGTAGAATTATTTAAAATATTATATTCCGAAACTTTGCTAATTTCGAACCGTCTTAATTAAACGTCTACGAAATAAAATTAATAATAATAATCTTAGGACAATTCACACAGCGCCATCTAGACTCAAGTTAAGCTAGCTAAAGCTTGTGTTATGAGTACTAGATAACTGATACAAATACATAGATATTTTTTCGTAACTACATACATATTATACATAGAAAACATACAGACCGATACAAAGAATCATACTCATGAATACAAATGTTTGTGCCGTGCGAGGAATAGAACCTGCGACTATCAGCTAGTTAATTGATATAATTTATACAATGACGTTGGTTGTCCAGATGTAAGTAAGTAATGATGTAAATGGACCTGTATGTTGGGGAACAGCTCCGGGGGGTGGAAGTGCCTCAGGTTGGGGTTGTTGTGGGCCTTGAGGTGCAGCAGCCGCTGCAGCCCGCTGGCCGGCAGCCACGGGAACACGTTGTTGCCCACGTTCCTACACAACACCACGCGTATTATTAACACAGCCATATTAACGAACCCTTGCCGCACAATCACACCCTTTTAAATCTGAAAATTATCTTCCGCGCAGGTATTTCTTAAATCTTCTTTTATTGCACTTAAATACATTTGTAAGTATATTAATTACAACTAATGTTAACAAAGGAGGACTTATCTTTAAAAGAGAACCCAATACAGCGTGGCATGGGAAGTATTGAGTGGGTCAAAATGTGCAAGTATTAATTTAATAAAAATGTCATGAATAATTACAACTAAATGTCATACATAAAAATATAATGTCCAAAATACAGATACCAACACAATATACAAGATACAAAGATATAAGAATATTTTTTTTTTGAGAATATATAAACATTTATTATGGGCTAGTAGTTGTGATGTGCCGGGTATCCGTATCCGCGGATCTTGACACTAAATATCTGTATTCAGCGGATCCGCGGATCTACATCTTTGACGATCCGGCATCACTAGTCAGTACCCATAGCACCAGTGTGTTATAGGTACTTATAATTAAAACTACATAGATATGTTTAAAAATAATGTTGTTATGACATATAATATAATAATAATTACGAATTACAAGTGTGACTTGGCTTGTAATTCAGCTCCGTCGAGTCGTAAGCCAAGTAGAACCTGTACTATGACTACCTACTAGACTGCTATAAATATATAATTTTATTTATTAATTTGTAACTCTTTATTGCACCTTAAAAAAATACAAAAACAAAACAATATTCATAGTATTAAGGTACAAAGGCGGTCTAATAGCTTAACCGATTTATTCAAGAAAACCTTTTGGTAGAGGAGAGAAAACAGAAGGTAAAATAAAAAATAAATACTTAAATACATACACAATATACATAGAAAATATTTAGAGAAATACAAACAATCATATTCATGAACATTTACACCGTGTGAGGAAACGAACCCGCGATCATCGGAAAATAAGCGCTAACCGCTAGACCACTCAGGCCGTTAAGAATCACATTTGTTAACAATTAATTAATGTAATGTGGACAAATAAATTATATCAGCATTGGTATTCTGTAAGCGTTTGATCAACTCATTTCACTTATCGCTTCACTGGAGGCACTCGTATCACTTGTCAAATATAAAGATCCTACTAATAATAATATAAAGAGCTATCGAGTTTGCCTTTATATATAAAAAAATCACTAATGCCTATTTTTCTCTACCACGATTTCTAGCGTGTGGCGCTGCAGTCGCTATCGAGTTTAACAGAATACCAATGTAGAAACTCATTGCGGATTCCACTTTCGATTTCGTAAGTGATGCTTACAGAATAGCTCTACAGGTACCTCCAAGTACCTCCAAGGACCTCGAGAAACCATGGTGATAAATTCAGGTGGAAATTGCTCATCTTATCATCCGCCACTAGCCACTGGTGCTGCATAACTATGTCTAGAGGTAATTTATCAACACTAAAGACTTATAGCGTAGGGCCAGTACGAACCAATAAGAACACTTGTATGCTTGGGTATGGACCCAAGCATACAAGTGTTCTTTCTCTGTTGGATACTTTTACATTATTAACGTACCACTAGATTTAATTGTTCTTTCTTTACATAATATTCTCTGTATCATTAAATGTAGTAGCCATATCATATCCCTCATCTAAAGTACCTACATATAAATTTTAGCATGTAAGATCTAGTGGGGGGACCTGGTGACCCGTGATACAGGTTCTTCGGATACCTAGTACAGGCACCAGTGTAAAATTCTATCCAAAAATACAGATTTGTGGAGAACAAATCTGTATTTTTGGATAGAATTTTACATGCCTCAAAGGCTCTGCAGCACTCTATATTATGTATGATTTTGTGGAGACAAAGAAATATATTATTATTATTATTATTATAAACCGTTAGTGCAGGCGGGTACAAAACTCCATTAAACATTTTTGTTGTCATAATGATAAATACGCTAAGCCAGTGATTCCCAGTGGTCTATATCGACCCCCAGGGGTCTATGACAAACTACAAGGGGTCTACCACAGCGGTCATCTTGTTGTTTTTATTTTATGTTTTTAACACTAAACTTTACTACAGTTAGAAATTTACAAAAAAACATTACCAGGTAAGAATGGGGGGTCTACCCAAAACCGACAAATATGGCAAGGGGTCTACGACACAAAAAAGTTTGGGAACCTCTGCGCTAAACTAAATAACTAAACCAGGGTTTGATTTAGTACTCGCAAGCTTTAAATAGCGATATCTAAATATTTGGCCAATGTTCCGAGTGTAGAATTATACGGTGGTAACTGTTATATTTGAACCATAAACAATATGCTGTTAGTGAGACTTGGGCGTCAGTAAATATTTAACTATATATATTCTGTAGTAAGGTGACCAACTATTTTTTGTTCAAACAGAGTATTTCATAGTGGGCCGTTCAAGTGTTATGTAATCAGATTTATTACAATTATTTACCCCCCATCCCCCTTGTCAGCAAAAGTAATCAAAGCTCTTACCCCCTCCCCCCATGCTTACGTAAACATTTTTCAATTAATGTATTGTTTTTAGCAAAGACTATGTGAGGGTTGCCATTCGTGTAAAAAAGTAAATAACTACCGATGACGTCATCGTCATCAAGACTCCCCCAACACCCCCTCCCATGTCATCCAAAATAAGCAAAGCAAAGACCCCCTCGTCCCCCCATACAGTATACGTAATACTTGAATGGACCTTAGGTGAAAAAAGAAGTAACGATAAAAATTTAAATTATTTTCTTGGCCCTTAGGTATACATTTTAGCGCTAAAATATCAAAGACCTCACGGAAACGATTTATTAAAACCTATATCTGGAGTATAGCCTTGTATGCGTGTGAGACGTGGACATTAAACCAAAAGGAAAGAGACAAACTGGAGGCTTTTGAAATGTGGTGTTGGAGGAGGATGGAAAGAATTAGCTGGAAGGATAAAGTAAGAAACGAAGAAGTACTACACAGGGTAAAAGAAAAAAGGCAGATATTGAACACAATAGAAAATAGACGAGGAAAAATGTTAGGACACTTGATACGGCACGATGATTTCATAAAAATTATTATTGAGGGGAAAATAGAAGGAAAGAGGGGGAGGGGAAGACCAAGGAATAGCTACATCAAACAAATTGAGGACAAAATGGGAGTCGTGTCGTATCAAGAATTAAAGAGCATGATGGAAGATCGCGGAAAGTGGCAAGAGCTCCACCGACAAGAGCGTAGCTCTTAAATTATGAATGAATGAATGATGGCCCTTAGGTGAAAAAAGAAGAAATAACGATAAAAATTAAAATTATTTTCTTTTAAAAACATATTTATCTTCGGAATGGTTTTGTTTTTGCTAAATGAGGATGTTCGTTAAATACTGTAGCCACATCTGAACGATTCTCATTTCGTATATTAAATTTGACTGTTAAAACGGACAGATAATGTTTTTACAGAAAGTTTCGACTACTCACTGCTCCAATAATCATTCCCTAGTGAAAATACACTTTCAACAGCAGCATTAGTGCCTGAAACGGCGACCAATATTAGCGTGTGAAATTGAAATCACTGTCAAAATAATCTATACACATAAATAAAATAGGAATGTCCGTTTGTAATATTGAAATAACCGTTCTTTACTACATGCATATGAATATAATTACGGTACATACACCAAAATAACAATTTTTACAATTTTTGTCTGTCTGTCTGTTCCGGCTAATCTCTGAAATGGCTGAACCGGTTTTGACGGGACTTTAATGGCAGGTAGCTGATTTAATAAGGAGTAACTTAGGCTAATTGTATTTTAGAAAAATAAAGTTAAATTCCATGCATACGAAGTCGCGGGAACAGCTAGTATTAAATATAATTGAAATAAATCTAAAAAAATGTTTTAGAAACATAAATGAGTATGAAATTATACAAATGAGTACTTTCAGAGTACAGGATATGAAAAGAGTACGGTTTGGGAAAAAAGGAGTACAAAACTGAGTAAATGAATATAGTTGGTCACCTTATCTGTAGGAACTAGGAATGTGTTGTTTGTTTACGAGTTGCTATTAATACTCACAAGTCCTCCAGTCTGGAGATCGGCACGAATGCCTCCATATCGATGTGTTCTATTTGATTCTCTTCAAGGTTCCTGCAAAGTAATTGAATGGAATGCAATTAATTGAGATACATTCAATTTAATACGAGTTGTTTTTAAAACAGAGTAATGCAGGTACAAGTGTAGAAATACAAATCAACAACTACGTGTTCATACTGAATCAAGGTATACTAAATATCGGTTCAATGAATAGAAACACAATAGAGGTACAGGTGGTTGATATATTCTTTTTTAGAACTGAACGGTACAGAATTAGATGGAATCGAATTGCAGATACATTTTTTTGCGGATTACTCTAAAGCTGTTGGCCGCAGCTGGCCTTTAAAGCTTCATCGGGCGAGTGCAGATGGCACTCCCATCCCGATCCCCCATTCAATTCAAACGGGGATCGATATTACGACGGCCTAAGCCGAGGTTCGAACCCCTAGCGATGCCCTCAGACTATCAGTATCTGTTAGGCGGGAGTTGGCCTTCAGCCGCTCCATAAGTCCTTCCTTTGGTTTGGAGTGCCATCTGCACTCGCCCCCTATGGTCCGGTGAAGCTGTAAAGGCCAGCTGCGGCCAAAAGCGTTAGAGTAGAGCGAAAAAAAAAACCGAACCGGAGGCCCATTGTGTCCGGGACAGGCGGCGGGTCGCATAACCGGTGACGAAACTTTTTCCAATTAACTTGAACTAAGGGAAAATATTTGGTATCGCAGCCACCTCTCCGCTAGTATCTAGTATAGAGTTGCCATTCCCATTGTCATTTTGTCATTTGTCCCACATTGTCATTTTTCCCAGAACTTTCCAGGACACTTCAAAAACTATCCTAGTTTTTGAAGTGTCCTGGAAAGTCCTGAATAGTTATTTGGCAGCGTGCTGGGGTTTTAAAATATGCGCGCCTCTTAATTACTGATTTTCAACAGTATAATTTTATCAAATACTTGTTATTAAAAATCTGATTATATTAATTACTTGAATTTTACTACATATTAATATAACTATTGCAACACTATTACTGAGTTCTGTTTATGAACTGGACAGTCCTGGTTTTTTGACCTTTCAATTTACTAGTTTTTGAAATTTGGGCTTGGCAACCAAATTCAAAAATCATTCAGGTAGGATTATACACTGTAATTTAAATTTTTCCCTACCGTCCAGTTCGGTATATAGATCCAATTGAGAAGATCTGGCAAGAAACTCAATTGAATTACATTTTTTCAAGAAACCCTAATCCCTAATGTAGTACCTATATCAAACAAAGAATGTCCCGCCGTCCTCAAAGTTGGAGCGATTGCTTGCGATAACGAACTCTCGATGCCCTTTTAATAACATCCAACGAAGTGGCTGAGAGAAATACGCCGCTTTACGTGAGAGTCGGGATTAAGTTACAAATTTTAATTTCGCCGCCCGTCGGGGATGTCTCGGGACCGCGTTGGATCGTATTTTACGTCACGCGTAAAATAAATTAGCCCCCAGCCCCCTCGGAGAGGTGGAAGATAATGGAGAAGAAAGTAGACGCTGGGAATCTACGATGTTGTAAATATGACAGGAGTTTGTTTGTTACTTTACCCGCCATCGTAGAATTACTGCTGTTTAATACTAACTATTGATATTATATATTACGTACGAGAATGAAAGTTATTTCGAGATTTACTTTAGCGAACACTTTACACCAGAGGTCCCCAATTTTTTTTGTGTCGTATACCCCGTGCTATATTTTTCGGTTTTGGGTAAACCCACCTTTCTTACTTGGTATAGATTTTATGTAAATTTATAACTATAGTAAAGTTTAGTAACATAAAGTAAAAACAACAAGATGATCGCTGTCGTAGACCCCTTGCAGTTTGTTATAGACTCCTGGGGGTCGATATAGACCACTTTGGTAATCACTGCTTTAGACCTTTGGTGTGGCAGAAATCAGTGGAGGCAAGCAGTGTAGTATGTGCGAAGGTTAGGGACATCTTGTTGTAGCAGATTGCACCACTTATGTCATCTTAAATTGGAATAAAATCCTCTTAAACGCTCATCTTAAATCTAAAGAAAATACTTAAAGATCATAGTGTTGTAATATTATTGGATTGCACAAAGACTGAATGCATAGCGATTTTTATTAGATTAGATTTGTTGATTATGGCATATGAATTATGGCCTCTTCCAAATGTGTATTTATTTAAAACTAGATGCACCCGCGTGGTGGCACTTCGTCCGCGTGGAATTTCACTTTATTTCCCTAAAATAAAAGATTTTTTCTATAATAAACGTAGCTTAAGTTACTCATTATTACATTACCTACCTGCCAAAAAAAGTCCCGTCAAAATCCAGTCATTTCAGAGATTAGTCGGAACAAACATACAGACAGACAAAAATTATTATTTTGGTGTATGTACCGTATTTATATTCATATGCATGTAGTAAAAAACGGTTATTTTAATATTACAAACAGACACTCCAATTTTATTTATATGTGTATAGATAACATTTATTCGAAAGTGTAAGACGGAAGTTAATTGTTCAGTCTTCTTGAGTCAGCGTTACGAATGATCGGTAGAAACAAAAGAATGTGATTAAGATATTATAGATTATTTATGTTTCTTAATATTTAACTGTATATGGTGTGGTGTGGGGTGTGGTGTGTGGTGTGTTGATACTGACAGCAGCTGCAGCCGCGGCGTGTGCAGGAAGGCATCCCGGGGCAGGCGCCGTAGCCTGTTCCTGGGCAGCAGCAGGTCGTGCAGCCGCGACAGCCCGCGCAGCGCGCCGCCGCCGAGCGTCCTCACTGCATTGTCTGATAGCTCCCTGACAGCCGCCACATCCGCCACATCCGCCACATCCGCCACACGCGTGATTCACGCAGGCCACAGCCAGAAAATGCAAAAATAAATACTACTTTATTAAGATTGTTTGTTGAAAACTCTTTGCACATTTTTATATATTTATTTCTCTATCAATTTTAAAAATATTTTATTTAGAATTGTTATAACGGTAGATTGTATATACGGTTGTAAGGCACAAGTGAGAATAATATTTTTATTGTCACTTTGTGCCTTACAACCGTTTGTAATCGTAACCGAAACTATCGGATATCCGATATAAAAAAATATCCGTAACCGAATCCGAAATAAAAGTTTCGGACAATATCGGATACGGGCGGAGCCTATTGAGACAAGTTATGAAACCATTTATAAGCTGTTTGTATTTTACTTGAAATTCCTCTAAAATTATTATCCGTAACCGAAATTATCCGAAACTAACGGATAATCCGAAATGATTTCATATCCGCATCCGTATCCATATCCGGTATAATAATCATTCCTATATCCGAATCTATCCGTATCCGAAATTTCATATCGATAACATATCTGGTATTTACCATTTTCTATCCATTGTTTGATTTATATCACACATACTGTCCACTCAATCTATCGCCTACATTTTGGTCCTTCATTGTAGAAAATATTTAATTTGAATAAAGCTAAAATAAAATTCGAATTGAATATTGAAACCGCACTCAAGTTAACCACGTACAGAGAGCAATCAAACATTATCTGTATAGATTTTCTACAGTGTGTAGTAACTATTTACATGTAGACTATTAGAATTGCAACGTTCGAACTTCACGAAGTGTACAGTAACTGGGTATAATAATATTATTATTGCTTGTGGGGACTGGTCTGTTCTGGTTGCGAACACTCATTAAATTTTTTGTTCTTTGCGATAGCATGTGGTGGCGGTGGTGGTGGTGGTGGTCACTCTATTCGTTCCAAATTTGATTTTTAATGGCTGTGTATTATTGTAAACATGTACAACATTTATTTGAAAAGAATACGAGCTGAGTTTCTTGTCAGTTCTTCTCATCTCGAAATCATTCCGAACTGACGGTAGATTTGATATATCATAAGCGTCTGTAATAGACCTACATGAATAAAGATATTTTGAATTTTGAATTTTTATGTAAGAATATCGGGAGAGATGTGAAAACAATGCACCGAGGTTTGGTCGGGTACTCTCCACACTGCGTGTCACCATGTACTCCAAGGCGTGTTCTTCCCTTTCTCTTCTCAATCCTGATAATGCATCTACCAAGAAGACATGATGCCTACGACTACCTTCAGGGAATTCATCCCCACAGGCTAAAACCTAAGCGGTCTCGGACAGTGCGGTTTCAGAGGAGCTTCCTCCCGCGTACACTTAGATTGTGGAATGAACTACCTGCCGAGGTTTTCTGTAGAGACTACAGTGTGAGGTTTTTCAAGAGTTTTCAGAAAGCAATCAGGTTTCATAAGGATCGGTAAAAAGCTGTTATTTCAGGCGTCTATAAGCTACGGTAACCGTTTGCCATCAGATGGGCCGTATGCTTGATTATTAACCACCATCGTAGTATAAACCTACAATGAAATGGTGACATTGAACTCCATGGAAATCAGGAATTATAATGACTTATGACATTCTTTTCGATCAAGGATTAAATGTCTTCGTATCGGAACCTCAAGAACGACGAAGAAGGTGCAGTTATGCCGCTTGCTCTAGTATGAGAATAAATTTTTCAGCGCTGTTTAGTAAACGAACTGCTCGGCTGCAGAAATAGAACCTCGTGGATCGATTCCCAGTGGCCATCACAAACGTGACTAACACAAACAATATCTTCATTCGAGACTACGATCGTATGAAACATCATACTAGTATAATGTATGCGAAACTGTCTGTCTATTTGTTACATTGTCATAAATAATTGTCTGAATAAAATTTGACGTGAGGGTAGTTTGAATTACACAGATAATTAAGGATACGGACACAGGCTATCATGTATATGGGACACAGTCACCTAGATACATAAAATAATAATTGCATTTAATAATGTCTAGTAAGACAAATTCAATATTGTCTACTAGGCACTGCTGTATCTAAACTGTGTCACCCCACCTTACATTTTCCTACTTTTATTTAGTATATAAGATCATTATTTCTATGTACACATTGTCAGTTTATCATCATCAGTAATATACATCGTCTCGACCAGCAACATCTTATTATTCACCCGCAACAGTGGTGACCCCGACGTGATCTGCCCGACGTGATCAAGACGAAACCTGGGAAAACGACGAGATCAAGCAAGAGATCTCTGGCTGACGGCATCCTGCGCACCGACGATTGCACATTTCCACCGGCTTCCCAGAAGCGGGTCTCACCGGTACGGAAATTCAAGAGGCACAAAAATCGTTGGCTACACTGCGCAACAAGGAACCCTGCCATACTACTGACCGCCATATAATACTGGCCAGCTGTTCAATCATCAAACGTTAACAATGGCTCGTTATGCCATTAACAGGAACAAACATGCCTAGCACACCGGGCATGTCTGCCACTAGCTGTATAGACATCGCTGCAATAACCGTCACAGAGCGGTTACCTGAGTTCTGGACAGACTCGCCACGTTTGTGGTTTGCACAATTTGAGGCAATAATCGCACCTCAAAAACAAGGCGACGAATATAAATATAATACAGTAATATCCAAACTGCCAAAAGAGGTCGTCCACCAAGTCAGCGATATACTTAAAATCCACCACCAGAGAATAAATACTCAGTCATTAAAGACAGATTGGTTGACTGTTATGAGGAGAGCGAACAGACGTTTCCACAAACTGCTCGCAGAAATGATACCTGGGAGATCAAAAACCGTCCCAGTTATTGAGGAAAATGAGAGAAGCTGGTTGCGGGAAAATTAATGAGGATACCATCCGACTATTATGGATGAAAGCTTCCTCCATCAGTCACAACCGTTTTAGCGGTTACTGAGCAATTGACGCTGGACAAATTAAGCGAAATGGCCGATCGCAAACATGAAAATATGCGATTTAATACAACAATACATTACTTATATATTATTATTTAACATAACAAAAGGATTTCCCGTATGCGCTCGAGCTCGTCCTCTTCCTCCAGATAAATATAAGGCTGCCAAAAAGGAATTTCAGGACATGATAGAAATTGGCATATGCAGACCATCAAGCAGTCCATGGGCTAGTCCACTGCACATGGTAAAAAAGAAAAATGGTGAATGGAGACCATGCGGTGATTACCGCGCATTGAATAATATTACCGTACCGGACCGATATCCACTTCCAAGGTTATTGGATTTCTCGTATATTGCTAGTGGAAAATCCATCTTCAGCAAAATCGACGTCCGGAAGGCTTATCATTCCATTCCCACTGCAGAGCCAGAGAAAACCGCTATTATAACTCCGTTTGGACTTTTCGAATTTACAAGAATGCCATTCGGTTTAAGAAACGCGGGTCAGACGTTCCAAAGATTTATGGATTCGCTATTCAGAGACTTAGACTTTATTTTTATATTTGTCGATGACATTCTGATAGCCAGCGAGAGCGAGAAGGAACATTACGAACATTTAGAAATTATTTTTACTCGTTTAAATGAAAATGGAATTACAATAAATATGAGCAAATGCGAGTTTTTCAAAAATGAGTTAGATTTTCTTGGTTATCATATAACGAGCCAAGGGATGAAACCGACACAAGAGAAACTAAAAGCAATCGACGATTACCCTAAACCCACGACAGTCAAAGATTTACGTCGTTATTTGGGTATGGTGAATTTTTATAGGCACCTAATTCCACACGCTGCCAAGCATCAAGCTCCGCTCAATGTATTTTTAAGAAATAGCAAGAAAAACGATAAAACAATTATCGTATGGAATACGGAAGCAGAACAAGCATTTCTACAATGTAAACAAGACATGCGTGACGTCACAACTATGACGTTTCCAGAGTCGAACGCAAGGATCGCATTGATGACTGACGCTAGCTTAAAATGTGTTGGCGCAGTTCTTCACCAAAAAATTAAAAACGAATGGAAGCCAATTTCATTTTTCTCCAAATCGTTAACAGAAGCTCAAACGAGATACTACCTAAAGGGAGTTATTGGGAATATATATGGCAATAAAACACTTCAGACGATTAATTGAAGGTCGTGTTTTCTCAATATACACCGACCATAAACCACTAACTCATGCTTTTGCGAAGAAACTTTCGGTGGACGAGTCACCTAGAAGGATCAGATACTTGGATTTCATATCACAATTCAGTACAGATATACAGCATGTAAGCGGACACGATAACACGGTTGCCGATGCATTATCACATTGTTTAAGTCATCGAAACAATATCACTTCCAACCGTTATCGACTTATCCGACTTAGAAAAAAGTCAACAGAATGACATTGAGTTACAACAACTCAAAAAGAATAAATCATTACGTATGTCATTAATTCAAGTACCAAATACAAATAAAAAAATATATTGTGACATTTCCACTGAAATAGTACGTCCTTACTTGCCGCCAGATTTCAGAAAAACTATTTTCGAAAGTTACCACAATCTTAGTCATCCTGGTAAAAAAACTACAAGAAAATTAATTGGCAATAATTATATATGGACAAACATGAATACAGATATAAATAAATTGTGTGAATCATGTTTACAATGTCAGAAATCGAAAGTGCATAGACATACAAATTCACCGCTTGGTAAATATTTGCCTGCTACGCGTTTTTCACATGTAAACATTGATATCGTAGGACCATTACCTACTTCGCAAAATAAACGATATATTATCACTATAATCGACAGATGCACTTCATGGCCTGAATCATGTGGTGGCTTTTCCAGTTGCAGATATAACTGCAGAAACTGTTGCAAGAGTTGTCTACGAGGGATGGATTTGCCGCTTTGGATGTCCAGACTACATCACCTCTGACCAAGGACGACAATTCGAGTCCGACGTTTTCAGAGGACTTGCCTCTCTCTCCGTACTACACCGTACCATCCACAATCTAATGCAAAAGTGGAAAGATTACACAGAACAATGAAAACAGCATTAGAAGCCAGAGCCAACACAAGAAATTGGACAAAAGAATTGCCATCAGTTCTATTCGGACTACGCTCAAGTTATCGACAAGATACTGGTTGCTGCGCCGCCGAACTGGTATATGGCACTACTATCAAGTTACCGGCAAATTTTTTCTATGATGAGCCGAAAATCACGTATGCTGACTTCATAAAAGATATTAAAAATAATATTAGCCGAGTTGCAGCCATCCCACAGAGAGAGAGTACAAATAAAAACATTTTTGTACATCCTCGTTTAATGGATTGCTCACACGTCTTCCTGAGATGTGACAGATTACGTCCAACGTTGACACCACCATACGAAGGACCATTTTTTGTTGTCAAACGCAAAGGAAAAGTATTCACAATCAAGCGTGACGAAAAAGAAACAAATGTGTCAATAGATAGACTCAAGCCAGCATTCATAATAAACAACGAAGCAATTGCTGGCTTCGTAACGGACACCGCTCGTCAAAGACAGCCGACCTTTGAAAGTGACACGTTATGGACGCACATCTTATCCTACAGTGAGATTTAATTTGTAAAAAAAAAAAAAAAAAATATTTTATTAATTTATATTGTTCATAATTAACTTTTATAATTTTTTTGTGTATAATATATATATTTTTTTCTCTCAAGGGGGGAATATCTATGGGACACAGTCACCTAGATACATAAAATAATAATTGCATTTAATAATGTCTAGTAAGACAAATTCAATATTGTCTACTATGCACTGCTGTATCTAAACTGTGTCTGTCTGTTTGTTACATTTTCCTACTTTTATTTAGTATATAAATCATTATTTCTATGTACACATTGTCAGTTTATCATCATCAGTAATATACATCGTCTCGACCAGCAACATCTTATTATTCACCCGCAACAATGTACATAAAACAGAAGCCGCAATCACGTAACGTCTAAAGAATAGATCAGTGTTTTTCTATTTCGCGACCCACAGATTCTTTCAGGCGACGACCCCCTCTTTGGGTCGCGACTCATAGATTGAGAAACACTGGTTTAGATAATGTAAATAGGTGTAAAGTGTAGGTGTGGTGCATACTCACAGTACTCTCAGTTCTGTGCAGTTGTGCAGGTCGGGCACGTGCTCCAGCTGGTTCGCCTTCAGGTCCCTGCACACACACACACACACACAATAATCAATACTACTCAGACCACAAATATTTGCTCAAAGTGTATTTTCAAAAAGTCTCGTCCTGAGAAACTGTCTCACTAATTGACTCATTTCATCGATGCGGAGCTAGACCCGATCTATTGAGAATGGATTATCTGAATAGCTGCAGGTCAAGGAGAAATAACGACTCTATATGTTTACTTTGTTAGTAGTAGTTTAGAACTTAATGTGCTATCGTTGTCAACGATCTCTTATACAACAAAATTAATACAATTATTGTGCATCTATACATATAAATAAAATTGAAATGTCTGTTTGTAATATTGAAATAACCATTTTTTACTACATGAATATTAATGAGGTACATACACCAAAATAACATTTCTTACAATTTTTGTCTCTCTGTCTGTCTGTCTGTTTGTTCCGGCTAATCTCTAAAATGGCTAGACCGATTTTGACGGGACTTTTTTGGCAGGTAGCTGATGTAATAAGGAGTAACTTAAGCTATTATTTATTTAAAAAAATAAAGTCGTGTGTACAGCTAGTGAGTAATAAAATAGAATAAAAAAAATTGCACAATGCTACATAATAAATTATTTTTTTATAATTGTAAATAGCGTATTTCATTTGTTTAATGTAGTTATAATTTTGATTCCACAAAAGGGCATAATATGACTACATATTTCTAGTGCTTATACGAGTATTAAAGTGGATTACATAACGTGTAAGTATATATATATGTTCAATATACTACCAAACATTAAAAATGTATATTAAAAGATTGGATCTTCTTACGCTGTAGTGTACAATTTCAGTATCTATTAACTTTACTATAAATCAGCGCATTACAAATTGAAAAGCTTTGATGTGCCGAGCAGACCGCTCGAGTGGAAAACCTGTTCAGTGACACAAGTGGGTTAAGATTCTCACTGTGGAATAATAAAAAAGCAATTTATTCCGAGTGGCGAAAAGCCGACAAATTGGTGCGATAATGCGGGCGGCGTTTGTTGGGCGGTCGGCGGGCGGTCGGCGGGCGGCGGCGCGGCGGGCGGGCGGCGATTAGCGTCCGCCGCACTCGATTTATGCAAATCGAATACCGATGCGGGCTAAACTCGGGATTATATCACGGGACCAGGGATGGTAGGGAGCTCCGTAACCGTAACCGAAACTATCGGATATCCGATATAAAAAACATTCGTAACCGTAACCGAATCAGAAATAAAAGTTTCGGATAATATCGCATAGGGACGGAGCCTAATTGAGAAATAGAAATATCAAATAATATTTATTCAAACAAAATTCTACTGCTTATTCGGAATGCAGACTAATCACAAGAATGAACAAGAGACACGTTATGTAACTATTTTATTAGCTATTTATATTTTACTTTTGAAATTCCTTATAAAATTTATATCCGTAACAGAAATTATTCGAACGTAAGGCATCCGTATCCATATCCGGTATAATAAGCATTCCTATATCCGAAATGTAATATCCATAACAGCCCGTGACGGGACCTTGACTCGGCCGGCACGCTCCACCGCCGCCGCGCCGCCGCACCCGCGCCGCTCAACCGACGCTACGTCCCTTTATGGGTGTCATAAAGCTTAATATTTAAATTTTGGAAGTGAATTTATTACATCTGAATGGACTCTGCGGGATTGTCTTTTATTTTATGTTACACTAGCTCCTTGTCCCGGCTTCGCACGGATGTACATGTATTATACATATAAATCTTGCTCTTGAATCACTCTATCTATTAAAAAAAACCGCTTCAAAATCCGTTGCGTAATTTTAAAGATTTAAGCATATATAGGGACAGCGACAGCGACTTTATTTTATACCAGCTACTCGCCCCGCCTTCGCACGTGTGTACATGTATTATATATATAAACCTTTCTCTAGAATTACTCTATCGATTAAAAAAACTGCTTCAAAATCCATTGCGTAGTTTTCAAGATTTAAGCATATATAGGGACAGACAGCGACAGCGACTTTATTTTATACTATGTAATAAAGTAACTAAATAACCTTGTTTTAAATCTGAAATAATCTGCTAAAGAATCGAGTAAGATAAATTATGTATGAAAATGCACAAGTGACGTAAGTGTTTTTAAGTGTACAATAGCACCAGTGTGTCTTATCAACATATTTATACAGATTTCTCTGTTCAGGATATGTGTCATTTCTTCTTAACCCAGTTTATAAACTCGTGTATGAGATTCTCAACAATGGAATTTATAAAATGACATGCATGTCTGTGTGTGAAGGGTGGCTGTACCGCCAGTATAACGTAATTGCAAATTCTTCAAATTCAACTCAACGAAGTCCTTGATCTGCTTGTGTTTGTATTTATTTACATAATAATTTATATACGAGATGATATCATCCAAGAATTTCATATTTCAAACGTTCACTACCGACCTGATCCATATCGGATCCGTTCATCTGGACATCACTCATGAGCTGTACCCGGGAGTTCGTTCGCGTGCAATTTAACTTTATTTTTCTAAAAGAAAAGTGCCTAAGTTACTCCTTATTACATCAGCTACCTGCAAATAAAAGTCCCGTCAAAATCAGTCTGGACTCTGAGAAAAGATTCTGAAATGGCTGGCCCGATTTTGACGGGATTTTTATTTGCAGGTAGCTGGTGTAATAAGGTTTATGATTGAACTATTTTTTTATATAAGCTTTAGTAATATTATTAAATATTATCTTTTTGTTTGGTACTTTACGAGTCGACCATAAAATTCTTTATAAGGGTAGTATTTAAGATGAAAAGTGAATTCACTGCTTCTTATGCCAATCTATCTATATTGTGTTCCGGACATAAGGATCTAGTGAATATAATATTTAAATGTTTAACCTTTAGAAATTGAAATTTAACGCGGGTGTTTAATAAGTAAGTTTAATGGAGACTTTCTAGCATAGCATGTATGCAATTTACTAGGAATTTAATATGATGGTTTCCAGGGGGAACCGTGTGGAGGTCAACCTGACGTGGTATATTGCTAGCAATGGGGTTATTAGGACACATTACTAACAATCCCCTTAACATTAAGGAGGGGTTATGCAAGAGTTAGCGGAGGTATTTGTTCAAGTGGTACTGACAGGGCGCGCAGCTGCGGCACGTGGTTGCAGAGATCGTGGGGTAGGTGTGTGAGGCGAGCGCGGTCGGCACGCAGCGTGCGCACGCGCCACGACCCGTTGAGAGACGGCAGCTCGCGCAGACTGCGGGACTCCGACAGCACGCTGCAACAAAATGGAACGTCAACACACACAACACAAACCAGTACAGGTTAATGAATGTTTATTCATCAACAGTCACTTCCAGGAAGGTCTTTAATGCCGATTAGTGGAAGCTAGCAGATGTTAGGGTTATTGTATTGTATCGATATTGTAGAAAAATCACTGTATTATCTTTATAGTATCGTCCATACAAAAATAAGCGATATCTAGTACTACATATAGTAGTTATATTATGTGCAAGTCAGTAGGAATCGGTTAACACTTCATATATATTAACAGAGTGGCCATTTCAGTCGTATATAAATACATAAAATTATATGCTACAATTTACAAAGTTTTCAATCAGTAAATGGAAAGTTTTTATAATAAAATTAATATATAATGATTTTTTATTATAAACAATTACATACTGGATTCGATTTATAATTTATTTAGTTCCCATAATATATGTAACTATTTAATTTGACTAATTATTAATAATTAAATATTGTCATTCACAAGTACCTCGAACCAAAGTTAGTGGTGTTGAAAATGACGTTTGTTATAATATCTCGGTGTAGGACACGGGAGGAGATCAATTCAGTTGATGATATCAGCACCTCGCAATTAACAACAGCGTACAACAACAATAGTAACTATTACAAACACAAGTAGCTGCACACGTCGCTATGGAGTTTCATTAAAGGTTTACTTATAACGACTTCGATGTCTTAGCTGCAGCTGCTGACAGCTGCTGACAGCTGCTGACAGCTGCTGACAGCTGCTGACAGCTGCTGACAGCTGCTGACAGCTGCTGACAGCTGCTGACAGCTGCTGACAGATGCTGACAGCTGCTGACAGCTGCTGACAGCTGCTGACAGCTGCTGACAGCTGCTGACAGCTGCTGACAGCTGCTGACAGATGCTGACAGATGCTGGCAGCTGCTGGCAGCTTGTCTACCATTCTTTTTATAAACTTTGTATTTTTGATATCTATTTTTATGTCTATTTTGACTAGTTGTTGTTACTTTTCGCTGTGAACTCTATCGGGGAATATACACGTTTATGACAATTATTAAAGATTTATATTAATAGTTGTGTTCCAGCTCCAATCACAGCTGTCTCATATGAGTGGGAGAAATTTATTAGGCACATTGATTTTACAAGAAAAACTGTAATCCATCACATTTAAAATAAGTAATTATGGTGCTAAGTAACAGTTGATATGTAACGTGCAACTGAATCAGATCGAGAATAAATTATATTTGCTACTGTATATTCCACTGAATATCTCCATCAGAATTGCAACGGTAGCAAACACTATACCACAGTCATAATAATAATAATAATAATAATTTCAGGACAATTCCCACAGCGCCACTAGACCTAAGTTAAGCTAGTTAAAGCTTGTGTTATGGGTACTAGATAACTGATACATATACATAGATACTTTTTTTTTGTAAATACATACATATTATACATAGAAAACACCCAGACAGATACAAACAATCATACTCATGAATACAAAAATACACCACAGTTATACTAGTCAATAATGTGTTGTTTAACAGGTATATTGTTATCTTTCTTTTTATCTGTAACAAGAGACAGGTTGGACAGGGTGGACAGCATTCCTCCGAGAATGATACTCCGGTGAGAGTACGATGTAATTGATTAGGTAACCAATACAATCAGAATCAACTTGATTCGACCGTTTCTAATCCAGTAATTGAAATTAATTTATCGGTATTGTCATTATTTAACGAATGTTACATTGCATATTTCATTACTGTGGGGCTTTAAGTCCACATCATCATCATCATCATCATCATCATCTGCTTCTTCCTTATCCCATTTATTTGTGGTCGGCGTAATATGTTTTTCTCTTCCATTCATCCCTGTTCGCAGTCATCGCGTTATTTACCTCCTTTCTTACCATATCATCTTTCACACAGTCCATCCATCTCTTTTTCGGCCTTCCTCTTTAAGTCCACAGTTCTGTGATAATGATATTAGTTGATATATTGATTGATTGATTGATTGATTGATTGATTGATTGATTGATGAGGGGTTTTTGCTAAATAAAACCGCCTCGGTTGAATGCTACTCGAATATTGATTTTATTGCTAAAAGAACAAAGTGCAATTAACAATATACGAAGTAATATTAGACAATACTTGTGCTCGTGTAAAAGTATTGAAAATATTTAAAACTAGCTTTTGCCTGCGGCTTCGCTTGCGTTAATTTATCCCCTTAGGGGTGGAATTTATCAAAATCCTTTCTTAGGGGATACCTACGTCATAGTAGGTTTATGCATGCAAAGTCTCAGCCCGATCGGTTTAAAATTGACAAAGTTTCATACAAACTTACATCCCCTATTTTATCCGTTTGGGGGTAGAATTAATCAAAATCCTTTCTTAGCAGATGCCTACGTCATAACATCTACCTGCATGCCAAATTTCAGCCCGATCCGTCCAGTGGTTTGGGCTGTGCGTTGATAGATCAGTATGTCAGTCAGTCAGTCACGTTTGAGTTATATATATTTAGATTATTACTAGCTGCCTCAGCAAACGTTGTTTTGCCATATAAATTAAAATCGCTATTAAAACATAGGGGTTGGTGATAGACAACCCTTGTCTAGGGTATGAAAAATATATAGTAGCCGATTCTCAGACCTACTGAATATGCACATTAAATTTCATAGAGCCACATCGGAGGAGTGTGGTAACTAACATTGTGACACGAGAGTTTTATATATAAGATAACAATGACAATGAAAAGAAACAAATAACAGTGGTACTTTACTGGACTTGTATAATAGAAACATTATAGATTATCAATAGACACGGGAATCCTAGTGGTAAATTCAGTTTTAACAGATTTTAATCATAAATATTTTTTTAGGTACAAATATATATAATTATCATATGTATCATATATATATAATTTACTAATATTGCATTTGTATGTATATTTTCTTGAGTAAGTATCACAAAACATGTTCCATCCTGTGGGAGTGTACGTACTCGTATATACTATACTCGAATACTGGCCGGTCGACTCCATTCTCCCTTATGAACGAGATTTACTTTCCGTTATTTTTGGGTCAAACTTACAAAGTTCCGGCTCGTCAGTCGCTCGAGGGAATTATGTTCCGTTACAAGGCCGGCCCGGTCCATCGGCGACCGTATTCGCATAGCACTGTAAACATTCATAAGGAAACTGTCCGCCGGCTTATTGGACCAAATTAAAGAAATAAAACGTGACGCACTTCATTCCATTTGTTACAGGAAAATGTACGTTCGTTCAACTTACAGAACGTTACAGAACTGTACTGAAAGTTGAAAAGTAGGTAACAATGTCTTTGGATTTTTTACGGTTATTGTAAACAATATGGATTTGGATATTTGGTTACATAAATATACAGTAAAACTTATCATCTGCTTCTTCTTTATCCCGTTTATTTTAAGGATGTCTGATAGCGATAACACCGCCTTTTGTAAAACATTTATTTTCATTGTATTGTACTTACTGTCCTATGTTTATGTATGCACAACAAAGAGTTATTAATTATTATTATTTGTGGTCGGCGTAATGTTAATGTTTTTCAAATCCATTCATCTCTGTTCGCAGTCATCTCGTTATTTACCTTTCTTACCATCTTTCACACAGTTCATCCATTTCTTTTTCCGTCCTCCTCTGCTCTTATAACATGTAAAGGGAAATTAATATCTTGATTGGAATCACATTCTGAACTTTTGAATAACAAGAAAACTCTTGAATTTCAAATCATTTTTCTCTACATTTTAACATGACGGCCTCGGTGGTCTAGTGGTATAGCACACCGTCTTGCTTCCGATGGTCGGGGGTTCGATTCCTCGTACGTCACAAACATTTGTATTCATGAGTACGATTGTTCTGGATCTGGGTGTTTCTTTATATAATATATATTTACGAAAAAAATCTATAAATTTGTATTAGTTATCTAGTACCCATAACACAAGCTTTAGTTAGCTTAACTTGGGTCAAGATGGCTCAGTGTGAATTTTTTTGAGATTGTTATAACATTTGGAGTTCAAGTATGATATATTATAATTATTGTACTATAAAGTGAGGAAATTGTTCTCATATGATAACTGTATGTAATTTTAATTCATCGATAGATGTGATTGTTCATTACGGCAGCAGATTGCCATGATAATCGTGACTAAACCTTCACTTCACAAGCCCAACATTACGTTTTTATAAATCTACCTGAAAAAAGATTTAAAAGTCATATAAAACACTTTCTTTGTAAAAAAGCTTACTATAAAATTGAAGAGTTCTTTAACGATAATAATGTTTTTATAGAAAAACTTAAAATTTATAGAGCTGATAATATTATCTGATTGCACTAAGAATGAGTGCGTAGCGGTTTCTATGTTGATTATCGCATGCCTCTTTCTTAAAAAAATCTATTCAAAAGAGCAACACACAAGTTTCTTACTCATTCTTCTCTTGATCGTAAAGAGATCGAAAACATCGTGGAAGTAGTTTAAAAAGACTAAAATAGTTTCACAATGTTACAAGTGCACGTGGGCAACGTAATGTGTTGATCAACGTTGTTACACGGTACCTACCTACCGCTCGTACCTACTCTCAAGTGTTTGCACAAATAAGTGGTCAGGTTCCAGCGCTCCGGGCGCCGTCCGCGGTCGCTGTTTCGCCAAAACGAACTGTGACTGGTAGTGGTAGATACGACGGCCAGTGGCCACTGTGAAGTTAGTTTTACTAGTTAAGTTGTTCTCCTGCGTAATGGTGTGTCCGGACCCGATGTTGTGTGAATATGACTTCATATCGTTGATTAAATAGAAAAATGACATTTTCCAAAATTATAAGCTAGAATTGCCTCCTTCTATATAAGTCAATTTGTACGAGCTAGCATCGTACATTATTTCGCAACATTAACATTTTATTTTACATTTCACATTTCATTAAAATCAATTCGCACTCGGTCATCAAGGACGCGGCGCGTACTCATTACAA